AGGGGTCTTCAAAAAGTTCATGGAAAGATTGTATTATCTTTGAATTCTATTTTCCATGAATTTTTTGAAGTACAATCATATTCTATCACCCAACAAATTCCACTCCTAGAAAATGCCCTAAATAAATGTATATACATGCATACAGGATACATATAAAGGAAAGTCTATAGGACTGCTATTTGTAATAACCAAAGATCCGAAACCACTCCCAGATCTATCAATACAATGGGTAAACAAATTGATTTATACTCATAATAGAATATGATACAGAAATAAAAATCTGTGAATTGCAGCCACATTTTATAATATGGACGAATATTAAAAACATAATGTAAAACTAAACTATGTACTGTGCTATTTTATGTAAGGGACTTTAGCATCCACGGATTTTGGTATGTGCAGGAGGTCCTGGAACCAATCTTCTGTGAACATGGAGGGATGACTGCATAGTATTTAGGGATGCAAACTTACATGGTAAAACTATAAGCAAAATCACACAATTAGAGCTGGCCAGTTAGCTCAGTTGGTTAGAGCATGGTGCTGATAACACCCAAGGTCCAGGGTTGGATCCTTATACTGGCCAGCTACCAAAACAAAACAAAACAAAAACTTAAGCAATTACTTCATTAGTCGGGATAGTGGGTAGCTGTAGTTGGGATTTCTAGAGAGCAACCAATGTTCTTTTTTGTCCTGAGTGGTAATCATAAAGTGGTTTTTTTTGTTTGTTTCGAAAACAAAACTTGCTCATTTATGTTTCATGTACTTTTTCATATGTAGCATGTTTCATATAAGAAAAGTTTTAAAAATAACAAGATCAGTAAAATTGAGAATAATGCTCAATCTGAGGGGAGAGAGGGATTGAATTGAGGAGGGCAGACTGGGAACTTCAAATGTATTTGCAATGCTTAATTTCTTAAGCTGGGCAGTGGGTATACTGCTGTTTCTGCTATCATTTTACTTTGTACATACATACATTTTTAATTCTTTTTTTTTTCCTTTTTGTCTTTTTTCGTGACCGGCAACGGATCGCAACCCTCAGTGTCGCGCCCGGACCGGACCGGGACCGGCAACGGAATCGCAACCCTCGGTGTTGCGCCCGCACCTCGCTCAGCCAGTGAGCGGCCGGTCTGTGTGTGGGATCCGAACCCTCGGCGGGAGCACCACCGTGCTCCCAAGTGGCGCACTGTAACAGTGCGCCACTGGGCTGGCCCCCATTTTTAATTCTTTTGTATGTATAATCTTACCAAAAATACAAGTGATAAAAAAATTAATAAATTGGAATTCATCAAATTAAAACTTCTGCATTTCAATTGACACTGTTAAGAAAGTGAAAAGATACCACAGAAAGGGACAAAATATTGGCAAATCACATATATAAGAAATTTATGTTTAGAATACATAAATAACTCTTTCAATTCAATAACTAGTAGATGAATAACACAATTTAAAAATGGCAAAGGATTTGAATAGACTTTTCATCAAAGAAGATCCACAAAAAGATGTGCCAATAAGCACACGAAAAGATACCCAAAGTTCACTAGATACTAAGAGAAATGCAAATCTAGACCACTATGAGATACCAGTTCATACCCAATAAAGGTGGCTACAATCAAAAAGGCAGATATAACAAGTGTTAATGAAGATTTGGAGAACAGGAACTCTTATTCATTGCTAGTGAGAATGAAAAGTGGTGCAGCCATGTTGAAAAAAAAAAAAAGTTTGGAAGTTTCTCAAAACGTTAAACATAGAGATACCATATGACCATCAAACCTACTCTTAGGTATCTACCTAAGAGAAATGAAACATATGTACACACAAACACTTGTATACAAATGTTCATGACAGCATTATTCCTAACAGCCAAAAAGCAGAAATCATCCAAATGTTCATCAAACGGATAAACAAAATTCAGTATATCAATACAATGAAATACTATTTGGCAATAAAAAAGGTAAGAAGTACTGATACATGCTACAACATGGATGAACTTCAAAAGTACATTTAGTGAAAGAAGTCAGACACAAAAGATCACATAGTGTACAGCTCTATGTATATGAAAAGTCTAGAATAGGCAAATCTATACAAATATAGAAAGATTAGTCATTGTCTAGTGCTGGGGTTGGAAAGAAATGGAGAGTGACTGTTAATAGGCATAAGGGTTCTTCTCAGGGTGCTGTAAATGTTCTAAAATTAGCTTGTGGTGATAGTTGCACAACTCTGAAAATATACTAAAAATCATTAAACCACACACTTAGGTAAATTTTTTGATATGTAAATAGTATCTTAATAAAGCTGTAAAAAGTTGTCATGTAGGGCTGCTTCCACAAAGATTACTTCATTTCTGAAGGAAAGCCATTTAAAACTTTTAGAACTTGGTCCTGCTTTAACTGGCAGTTTGCTTCCTCCCTGCCCCTCCCTAGGTCCTTCCCTCTTTAAGGGAGGGAAAGAATAGGGGCATACTAAATATCAATTTTTTTTAAACACGAAGAAAGTATAAATATTCACAGATTTAAAAAATATTCTCAATTGCTACACAACTGAATATTTCTTAGGGTGGATTGAGAATAAAATGGATTAGAAAATAAAGAAAATGATCTATATATATATAGCAATTTTCAAAATTCTAAACAACAGAATACAGGGCTTTATCCCATAAACCTAGAGGTAATGGTTTTTAAAACAACTTTGTACAAGATAGGATATATTCTGGGAACTTTAATGTTTTTATAAAGTAAATAAAACTTGGAGCACTTTTGCAACAGCTAAGACAATAATCTGTTATTTAGGGCACATCCTTGTAAATATTTGTCTTTCCGTAGAGATATTCTGGAGGAGGATTGTTTTTACCGTTGACGTGAGGAGGAAACTGCCAGGCCGTGTTAGCTGAGGGACTGATGTTCCTGCAATTGCCATGGCAACTGTCTGGCTTATCATGCTTCCACTCTCACTGTCATAATCATCAGTAGCTATACAAATTGGTCTTCCTCGTTGATTGTGAGTTTCTGAAGAAAAAACAAAACAAAAGAAACCCCCAAAACAACAACAGATATTGAGCATGTAATTGCTTTTCCTATTCTACATTACCCTTTAAAAGAAAAACTTGTTAACATGTAATACTTAGCATTAGATTTACTTATTTTAAATAATATTTTAAATATTTATATCAGGCTTTATCAGGCCAATTGCTAGTTTAAATTCCTTTATTTGTCCTAAAGAAAATATTGCTGCAACCTAAATTCTACATTTACATAAACTCTAAATTTAAGTAAATTCTAATTTAAGAAAATTCAAAATATGGAAGGCAAGAGCAATAAAACTTTGTGGGTTCTAGCTTTAAAGAAGCAACGTAAGTTCAACTTATTAACCCAGGGTTAGCAATAAACATGATTCTTGATATTCTGGTAAATATTATTTCAATTATATATATATATATATATATGAATAAAGTTTAAACTGAGGATAGTAGACATCTATCAATTTTCTTGTGCTTTTCTTCAGATGTACAGTTCACATTCACACAAACAAACCTATTTCCTAAAATGTAGGTATAAAATTGCTATAAAATCATTATTTTGAAATTTATCACAAGAACTACTTACAGGAATCTTGTACTAAATTCTCCCACCTAGTCAAAAGTTTTTCAGCAAAATGGTTAAAAATTTATGGCTTAGTTTTACCAGCATATGTTTCCTTATATTTGTTTTCTTAAAATAATATCTTTATTCTTGAGATATTTTCTAACACTTTGAAATATCGACTTTGCATTTAAAATGTGTCTTAATTATACTAAGTACCTGTAAAATCATACAGCTGAGGTACAGCTTCCATGATAATACCAATCAGGGGTAGATACAACATGGCCACCCGAGCCTTTATCTGAGGGTCAGAGTACCGTGGGTCTGAGTCATGACTGGATAGTAAATTGTGTACCATATTGATGACTTTCTTATGCAATCCAAACAGTCTATTTAAAAAGAAGAAGATGAAGTAGCAGTAAGGTCACAGAGATCAGTTAATATCTTTAAAGCAAACAGTTAAAGTCATGGTACTGAATCAATTTTGTTCAATTTCTTAACTTTGCGATATGTTTGCACATATTCCTATAAAAGACTCCTTATTTTATAATAAATAAAAGTTATAAAAATGTAAAAAATGTATAAAAGAGAACTGAGGAAAAAGGAAGGGCTGCACAAATTCACTTAGGGCTAAATCTGAATATTTTTACATTTACTCATTATTAGTGCTTTTGAGTATTAAAGAACTTAAGACTACTTATAGTTACACTTTAAATTTTTAAAAAAACGTAAATTTTAAGTAGCTGTAAATTTTATCAAGTCAGATTTTTTTCACATTTAACAAAAATAAATTATTTCCTTTTTCTGAAAGTCCACAGCCTGGTACATTTCTATTTAAACTGGACTTCCCTGCTCATATACCTCATTTAGGCCCTTACAAACTTTCTAGATTCCCATTCCCCCTCAGTTTCAACTGGGCTAATACACTAGCAAGGGTTACTCTCACCTTCACACATTTTTTGTCTCTCTTCTTAGATTGAAGGCACTTTAACCATGCAAACCATTCTAATTATAAATTCATCCACTCCAACTTCAACTGGCCCTTAATGCTGTACCCAGCAGCAGTTTCAGATCTCATTCTTTCTCCCTAAACCTCTGTTAATCTAAATAGACTATCTTACCTCCAACTTTTCTTAGGAAAGGAAGGCCATTCTAAATTTGCTCTGACCATATCTTTCAACAAATCTCCATCTTTATAATTACTAAATCATCTTTCCTTTTTTGTCTCAGAAAAAGTTCTGCCTTCTCTCAGAAAGTAATTTCTCCGTATGTTCAATTAACCCCGTCTTTCTTCAATAGCTTCAATGTCTCTCCCTCATTAAGTTTTTCCCTTCTTTCTTCAAATGTGTCTTTCCTATCTCAAAAATACATCTTCACTTTAAAGGCTAGGATTTGAAAACAGGTAATCTTACTCCAGAGCCCTTGATCTTATCCACCATTTTACACAGTTGTATATGAAATCTAGCTGGACAGTCTTCCTTCTCCCTTCCAGATCAGAAAGTATACTTTTAAATACTGTCAAAACCCACGTCTAATGGACATATCTTGGATCTCATGCTTAAGCTCTCTATTTGACACTTTTGTCATCTTACATGCTCTCTTCTCAGTATTTTCTCCAATAGTTCCCACTCTTCCTCATACTCTTTGTCATTATTCCCAAGGCTCAGATTCTGGTGATTTGCCTTCTATGTTCTCCCTTTTGACTTCTTGAATCCCACTAATGATTCCCAAACCTAAATAGGTTTGGATGGAGTAAAAAAAGACAGAAATTCCTCCCAACGATCTCTCTAAGACAAATATATGCTGCATATCATCTATATACCTCTCAAAAATGTAAAATTAAGAATTGAGAAGTGAGTCTCTCACAATCAGTCATTCATCCATTCAATTAACATATAGTTACCAACTGTCCACTTTGTACCAGACACAATTCTAAGGCTTTAGGAGTATAGCACTGAGCAAGAAAGACAAGGTGCTTGCTCTCATGCTTTCATGAGCTCACATTCTAATGGGAGGAGACAGATAAACAAACAAGCAAATTTCAGATAAGTGCTTTGTAGAAAATAAAACAGCATTATATGGTTAAGAATGATTATAGCAAAGACAACATAGCTGTAATTTAGATAGGATGGTCAATGAAAAGATACTGTTTGAGTAGAGACCTAAATAATCACAAGGAAGAAATGGATATGTTACGATTTTAGGGCCTTTCGAGCATTGCTTCAGGCAGAGAAAAATCCAAGTGCAAAGGTCTAAGGGCGAGCATGAGTTTGGCACATTAGAAAAACAGAAAAAAGGCCAGGATGGCTAGATCTTATGTGAGACGAGAGTGTTGGGAGTAGACAAAAGGCAGATATGTAAGGCTCTGAGGACCATTATTACAAGTTTGAATTTTACTGTAAGTGCTATTTAAGAGTACACACAAAAAAATAATAAACAAACAAAAATAAAATAAAATACACACACACACACATTGAAGAGTTTTAAACAAGGTGGTGACATAATCTGATTCTCATTTTTAAAATACTATTAAGCCTGCTGGGTAAAGAAAGGATTTTAGGGAGGCAAGAGTGAAGTATAATTAGGAAAGTAGCAGTGGGGATGGAAGGAAGTGACTGAACTGGAGATATATTCCATAGGTGGTACCTGTGGAATTTGCTAATGGACTGGGTGCAGGAAAGAGTGGGAAAAGGAAGAAACAAAAAGGAGTAAAGGCTAAGGTTATCAACCTACACATTACTATTTAAAGCTCTTAAAATATCTTCCTTGTTTAACTGAATGGACAAAGAAAAGGTGGCAGTGAACACAACTCCCATTACTTTCTGGACTTTATAGAAAATCTTTACAAGTGTCAAAGACCAACACATTCTAACCTGATGGGGAAAAAGAGCAGTAAGGAATTCCTATAAGTCCTATATTGTTCCCCAGAAATATAAACCTATTTTAATAGAATTGACCCTTGATATGGAAAAGCCATTACTTTCTGGACTTTATAGAAAATCTTTACAAGTGTCAAAGACCAACACATTCTAACCTGATGAGGAAAAAGAGCAGTAAGGAATTCCTATAAGCCCTATATTGTTCCCCAGAAATATAAACCTATTTTAATAGAATTGACCCTTGATATGGAAAAGAAACCTCATCACAGAAATTGTTAACCATTAGAATTCTCTACTCTTTTTATCAGATACTGCTGAACACCTATACAACATATATTTCCCCTGTCTTCCTTCCTAATTGAACCCAAATTTTGTTGAAGTATACACTCCTCCCCTAAGACTCTGGGTGGGGAAGGTAATTCCATCCTCAGTCTCAAGAGTGGATCATAATTAAACTAGTCCTGCTACTTAAAGCAGCCAGTATAGCAAATTGTTTTGTTGCAGTCTAAGAAGAGACAAATATCAATGAACTCATTGCTTCCTTAATTGAGAAGATTTACAAAAAAAAAAAGAGATATGAACTAAACACTGTGTTTAGTGATAGTTCATTTACATTTAGGCACAAGCTCTTCATTTGTGCTCTACCACAATCAGCCCATGGACTGACAGCAGTCTAAGGATCGCATTTAGTACAACTGATCTAATCCAGCCAGCAACCTGGCATAGCTCTCTGGTGACTGTAGTAGTACAGAATAGGCAGGTGAGCCATATCAGTCCAAAGGAAAGATTTACATTACATTTTCCCCTTTCTCCTGCTGGATATGTACAAGAAAGCATTTAATCTTAACTGACAGTGGCAACGATCTTGTAGTCATGAGAGGCACCATCCTTAGGGTAAGGCTTCCAGCAGAGGTATGACTTGTAAAAAACCAGAACCATGATGATATCATTGAGCTGATAATTAGACTGTGTGAAAAAACCTTTCTTTCTTCCAATATGAAATACAATTCCTTCCTTTAATAAAGCCAGTTTAAAGAAGAATTTTCTGTTTCTTTTAACCAAAACATCCTGATATACCAAATAAAAATTTTGGAAATATAGCTTCAAATGGCTGTGTGAAAAACCCATTAAATACATCTTCAGAACCCTACAGTTCTGTAGAACACAGTGTGAAAAACTACTTCTTTAAAATACATTCCAAACTTAGGAAGTTACAATTATGAGAAAATGCATGCCTTTCATTTGCAGAAGATTTGTCCTTTCACAATTTAATAAGCATTGACAGTGTCCCTAATACATTGCCAGGAACTTTACAAACCTCCTCTTTCACTCAACAAATACATCAGAGGACCTTGTACAACCTATTAAAAGTATCTCTTTTCATTCTCTGGAGCTCTTACATGAGGTTAAATAAACTGCATTATAAACTTACAATGATACTACTCTGAAAAAAAATTTTTTAAAAAGAAATTATTATCCAAATGAGTTATGGTCACACAGATTTTAGAAAAATAACTATTAAGAGCAATGTAGTCCATAGGGATGCTAGTCCACAACACATGAAGCTATTTCTAAAAACTCAGGTCATCAGACAATATACCCTTCTTTTCTTACCATATCAATTTCCAAAAATCCTCTATAAGTGTACCCAACTTCAGAAATTTTTTTAAAATTATGGATATTTGTTTATGGGGCAATTTTTGAAATAAAATGGTACATAATATGATGGCAAATGATAAATTTTCCTCACTAGTCTACTTTCCTCAACTGAAAATCGCCTACTGTATATTAACAAATCTAAGAGTTCATATACTAATATGCATAATTTATTTTATGTACTGTTAAGAAGAAAAAGAATGCTACTAAACAAACCGTGATATATCCAATTTCAAGGCAAATCTCAAATTTAGAGATGACAAAACATGAAAAAAAAAGTCTTTCTTAAAATTGATGAAATACAGAAATAACATGGGTATGAAACTTAGTGAATAAAGAAATAGAAAAAGAATAAGGAAGAGTATCCTCTTGATTATTCGGAAGTATAAGATACTTCTGTCCCATTTTCCAAAATCAAATTAATATTCTGCAAGGCAAAAACTAGCGTACTCACCCATCAGCATCAGGGTCTAAAATGACAGCCAGTTCTGTTAACACAAGTCCTGCCAAATAATGCTGTTGGCGGAAAGGCACAGACAACTCAAACATATTTGCAATTTTCTGATCTTGTACATTTGTGGAAAATCCAGAACTCTGTTGGGGAGTGAGGCAGAACAAAGCTATAACAGCTGTGCAATAAAACATCTTACAGACAGAGCATTACAACAAATGAAATGTGAGCATTGCCTGAAACTGAGATATGCTATACCAAGGGCAGTTTATTTTATATTACTATTATTAACATTGGAGAAAGAAACTGCTCTTACTTTTGGTATAGAAAACTATGATAAAATTATTTTACTAATTTATTTTATTATTAAAATAAATTAATAATTAATTGGAAATTTAATTATTTTTAATTTCCTTTTTCTCATATTGAAACTTTTCCATCTGTTTTCTCCTTTATTCTGTTAGCCACTTAATGTTTCAACATCATACTCAGAAGGTAAAAAAATCAACTAAATCCAAACGATATAGTATGCACTCATTCCAGAGTGTAAGAGAAATGGTCAAGGTCAAGGCTATTGGTTTCCAGAGAAATTCCAAAAACCAGAAATATTGTTTTTCAGAGAACCTACTATCTCTAGAAAACTACTATCTCTAGAAATTCCAAAGACCAGTAATATTGTTTTTCAGAGAACCTACTATCTCTAGAAAATTACTATCATTTTGTGGTCTAGTCATTGAGTTTTTAAAAGTTTTAATAATGAAAAATAGCATCCCCCAAGATATATTTCATATTAAGGACCACCCATGTGGTGATTCTTAGAACAACAATAGATTCCCGATTTCCTGATGGAGAAATCATCTTCCTAATAAGTATATAAAATTCTTTCGGGTCCCCCCAAAAAGAGTCGTGTTTCTGTTATCTATTAGAATCTGATAACTATGTAGTTAGAAGAGAAAGCAGGCAATAAGATAATGGAAGAAATTCTATGAGAATTTCCTGGCTAAATTAGATGTTCAGTAAGGAGTCAGATGTAAACAGATGTTTTAGGAACGTATGTGCCTATGATTAAGTTGTCCCTGACTGTGTAGCAACATCTTTGACAGAGAATAGGGAAAGAAAGCAAAGCCTAGTCTTATCCATTATAGGAAGGGTGTGGTAGGCAGGTAGAAAAGTAGATCGAAATAGAATGATCTGGAAGATTTTTTGCAAAGATAAAATGAAAAGGTTGTGAGTGCTCTCTGATGTTTTCCAGTCTTTCTAAGTGAAGTTTAAATTTTTCTTTTATCAAGTTTATGAGACTGATTTAGCTTAGCGAATTTCATTCAGGAATTAAATATCGAAAACATAATTAAGAAGAGCTTACGATCAACTTTGACTTTAGACATCAACTTTAGACATTAAGAGCTTACGGAAATAGTTTGTTTGCCTCAGAAATATTATTGCAGAGTGTTTCACTTGGAAGGAAGAAAATCCTGGCTTATCTGATGTTAAAACCATAAAATCCCTCAATCTCAATGTATATGAGGGGGCATACATATTTATTATAATCCTTTTTCATCTTTAGACGAACTACTAGCTGTTGAAGTTGAGTGCCACCTTGAAGGCCTATAAATGTTCACTTAGTTTCCTTTGGGTTTTCTGGATACAAGAGAGTCAGGCAGGGCTCTGTCAAGCCTGCACTGTAGTTTGACTTCTTTCTCTGCTCAATTATGCTTCATCCCCTTTCCTTGTGGATGTATTGATCCCTAATAAATATCTTCCCAGTCTCAGTGTCTGCTTCAAGAGAACACGATTTGTGAAAACATCTAAATAAGTGAGTTTATTTAGGTGAATTCACTCACGTGTACATAAATATGTGAAAGGAGTACAACATAATGGTTAAGAACCTGGGTTCTATAACAAAGTCTTGGTTCAAAGCCTGACTCTCTTTACTCAGTGTCCTTTCTGTGTTTCCGTTTTCTCATCTGTAAGATGGGGATAATTATTTCCTAGAGTTGTTCAGAGGGTTAAATGAGTTAACACTTATCAAGTACTTAGAACTGAGCCTATCATACAGCTACTACTCAATAAGAGTTAGTTATAATTTTGTCAGTGTTTAAAATTCTGTTTCATCAATGTGGGCTTTAAAAATATGTATGCTCATATACTTTGCATACCTGAGATGTTGCAGAAGAAACTGAAGGTGATGGAGATGCAGGTGGAGTAAGTAAGCTGCAAGGTAAGTTTAATGTAACATAGTGCTCATGACTGCAAATAATTCGCAGAAAATCCAACCTCAAGGATACCAGGACACTCGGATTTGGTAATGAATAAAGCTTTGAAGATACCTTGTAAGGATTGCATAAATAAGAGAACATCAGCGAAATATATTATTTCTCTAACACTAACACCAGAATGACAGATTAAAGAGTAGTACTCGGTGGGCAGTCTTGGGTTTTGTGGTTTAAATAACAATAACAGATTTTTCCAGAGTTACTGCTAAAATTAAAATTTTGGAACTACAAGATTTACTGTATAAATCCATTTGACCAACTTAAAAGCCACATTCTTAACATTTCTAATATAGTATTAATATTTCCACTTCTTAAAAGTGTACTTTGTGAGGAAAAAATATAAAACCAAAATAATGTTATAACAGTTCTTAAAAGAAATTACCCATTCTTTAATAGCACCTTATGTTTACCTGTATTTATAATAGTCTATTTGTGCATTTTTCTACCTATATCATAAGCTACTTGAGGAGATATACTATAAACTGACTTAATAGCTTTAGTATCCCTAGGTTTTAGCCCAATGTTTGGCAAATGTAGGGGGTCAACTCTTAAAGAATAAAGACCAGACAAGTTTTGGTAGCAATAGACAAAATTTGGGGGGAAAGTAAAACTAATATATAGTGTTGCAAATATTTGCAAGTGGTTCAGTGCACATGCACATTTTTAACTTCTCTGACTATTAAAAGGAACAAACAATAAAGGCGTCCAACAGAACATATCTTCAAAATTCCTAATATTAGACTGCCAAATAGAATTCTTGACCAGTAGTTCCCCAAAACTAATCTGTAGACTAGCTTGGAAGTGATTAACAGGCACTGTGTCCCACACTCCCCCACGACCAGGATTCAAACTCCTCAATAACTATGGAATGGGACCCAGAGATCTGTATATTTTTAAAGCTCCTCTACAAGATAATTCTGGCATAAGTGGCTCATAAGGACAAATAACTAATGTTTTCCAGCAGGCAGGCCTCACTAACCGGTTGATAAAAATTTTAAAACAAGGACTGGCTGGTTAGTAGTTAGTTAGAGCATGGTGCTGATAACATGAAGGTTCGGGCTTTGATTCCTGTGCTGGCCAGCCACCAAAAAAATAAAAGTAAAAAAATTTTTAAACAAAATAAGCTGTTAGTGGAAAAGTTCCAAGATGCTTTTAGTTTAGTAAAGGCAAGATAATGAATGACATTTGGGACTTGGGTAAACATCTGTCCATGTATGATTCCAAACTCTACAGAGTCCAGGGTTGCATTAGGAGGAATACCCAATGATTTTAAATATCACTCAAGACACACACTATATACATATACTGAAATCTAACTCTGTACCCCATAAATATGTACAATCAATACATGTCAGTTAAAAAATATTTTTAAAAAAATCACTCAAGATACAAAATGAATTAGCTATTCATTAAGTATAAATGTTACACTTGCATGGCATCTTGAGGCTGCTTTACATTACTACTGACTTGATGGTGTACTCTGGAATGGGAATTATAGTCATGAATGAGTCAGTACAACTCAAAGGAAAGTTGGCTATACTAATATCAGCTTGCCAAAGTCCTTGCACCTTAATAAAACAAATGTAATTTAATGTTGCCTTACTAATAAAAATGCTACTTTATGCTACTTTTTTGTTTTAATATCAGTATATGAGTGTGTTCTCAAAGGTCTCTAGGCTCCAGCCCATAAAGAGTTATTACAGTACTTAAATTGTTCAATTATTAATTATTATTAATTATGTATTACCTGTTTATAGCAGGACTTTATAAGGCTAAAGACAAATCCTCTGTCCATAACAGACAACAGATCATTGAGAAAGAATGCAAGACTTGTATTGAGTCTCTCAACCATTTCTGTGTCCTGGGAAACATAATATAAAGCAAAAACAAATAAAAGTGTGATAGTTTAATCTTAACTTGAAAAAGAGGTAAGTGGGGAAAAAAGTTATCATTACCTTCTGAAATCGTGAAACTATATCACTAGCAATGGTGCTGACAAGAGCAGCAATGTCATCCATGAAACGTTCTGGAAAACGACTTTTCCTTGGAGCATCAAGTTTATCGTTGAAATATAAATGGTGCACCATGCTCTTTACCTGAAAAAAGATATAAGCCATTAGTTTAATATATTAACAATTACAAGAACTCTAAACACCCAGGCAATTTTTTCAATTTACCATGTGACTTAATAGATAACTGAAATACTTTTAGCTTATTAAATATTTTGAAAAAGCTCCCTACAATATTTTGTATATGCCAAAGAAATATTAAACACAATGTAACCTAATCACTACATCACCCTCATAAAATTATCCTGGCTATCTACAGGAAAAAAAATTCTGTGTATGTCAACAGAAGCAAAATTTCACCCTTTAAAAAAACTTTTAACTAAATTTTTCCAAGACTTAATAATTTTGCAATTCCATATCCTCCAAAATGTAAACTTTGAAAGGTTAGAAACCTTCTCTTCACTGTAGTGTCGTCAACATCTAGCATATAGTGACATACAGTGGGTATACAATAAATATCTGATAACTAAATATTAATAATAAAATATTAGTTAAAAATTAACAGAATGACTTAAGTTTACAAAATACTTTTTATATATAGATTCTTTATTACAACACTGGTAATGATAATAAAGAATTTTAAACTTTAAATTCAGAGAAATTGAACTTAAGGTTCTACAGTTAGTATATATAGTACATCTAAGTCTTAAACTGTGGTCTTTTGACTATTTTATATTTAAGGAATCTGAACACACATGTTAGACTATCAAAAAAAGTCAAAGTTATGATTTTTATCTTACAATAAAACCACGTGAATTATAAACTTGGTTATAAATTTTTCCTTGAAAAAAATGAGCTGTCTGTCACTTATATATGGTGAAAAATTATAAATTTTTCCTAGGGAAAAAATGAGTTGTCTGTCACTTATATATGGTCCCTGATTTATTTTTTCTGTAGATTAGTAAATTTCTAGGAGAAATGTTTTCTTATTCCCAATAAAGATAACATTTATTGCCCTGAATGACCCTTTGACACACTCTGGAAGCTCCTTCTGTTTTTTTTCTTTCTTTTTTTTTTTTTTGTTTTGTTTTATTTCCCTCTGTTTCTTATTTTTTTACATACTTCTTTTTTGGAAGAAAAACTTTCAGTAATTTCAGCTTTCTAAAAGCTAAAGAGGAAGGTGAAAAGGAAGGTCCCTAGTGCCAGAATACCTGGATTTCACTCCCAGTTCTGCTACCTACAAGCTGTGTATACTTAAAAAAGTTACTTAGTCCCTCTGTGCCTTGGTAATACCTAGCCCATAGGAGAGTGCTACCATATTGTACCCACTTGATAAATGTTTGTTGTTTTTGTTTATATATATATATACATACACATATATATTTATAAACACATATATGTATTTATTAAAATATTAATTCATTCATTTTTAATATAATTTATTGAATTAAGAAAAAGTGTTTTTTTATTGGCTGTAACTGGCATTTCCCTAAAAGCTTTCTAGCCATAATAGCAATGAGTTTCTATAAGGCTCTTTTTATCTTTGTTGGGTATAAAATCTACAGTGCTGCCATTATACATTTGCATGTTTGGACTCAGAAAGAATGTATCACAAGTTTTCTTCAAAAAGATAGTTAGCTTCTGCAACCATCACTGAAAAAAGAATTAAAATGAGCCTGAAACTTTATAATTCCACCTAAACTGTGCTGAGTATCCAGTGTTTATTTAGAGATGTAACCCATGTAATTTTGTCTTGGAGGCACATGTAAAACCATAAGATAGGCAAAAGAAAAAGATTTCTAAGATAAAAAATGAGCTAACAGAAAATTCTTCATTAAGGAAAAAAGTATTAAAGAATCTGTTTAGTTTGCTCACCATTAACTCAAAAAAGAACCAGGCTTGTTGCAAAGCTGATTCCCGAACGCTGCCACTGCAAACAACCCACTGCAAAGCCAGCTCCTCATGAAAAAGCTATCCAGAAGTAAATCCAAAATTATTATCAAAGTCAAATCTGCTGATAACATAAGCCGAATCATAATGCAAATACAAATGAAGATAAAATGAGATTAAGCAAAATAAGACATGTGAACCATTCAATGATGCAGTGAAGACACCCATTAACGAAACGGCTCTTTACACATGTAAGAGAGTGGCATGTTGAACAGCTGAAAAAATTACATGTTATCTTGGAGTAAAATGTAATTTTAAAAGGACAGGTAGGAAATGGCCTCCTAAATTGTACCTGCAAACAAAAACTAGACCAAAAACTCACAGTTACACATAAAATCTTGTTTGTATCTTAGATATGGATCTTAACATATGCAAATACACTCATGAACTTTGCTGGTACAATTTAGAAAATACCTTTAAAAATTTAAACTTTGCTGTAAGCCATTAATTTTCAAGTTTTCAGGTATTTAAAGTCTTTTTTAAAAAATAGAAAATTCCTGCCTTATAATGGATATACATACAAAGCATTTGCAAAGTAGTGTATATTAATATGAAAAAGGACTAACAAAACTGTGCATAAAGGAAGCAAATCAATATGTCTTACTAAGAGTGATAATTTTTCTAACTCATCTTCCTTTCCCTGGAGATTTAAAACACAAAACAGAAGCAGTTACAGAAACAGAATTAAGAGTCAATACATATTTTGGTACTATAATTTGATAATCAAATTTGAATTCACTAATCTCTAAAAACAGTCAATCCCAAAGATACAAAAATTATCATAATGTAAAAGAACATACACTAGAGAGGTATGCCCAAAAAGGCTTCAGACAAGCAATGCTTGCTCAGTTGTACTTTTAAACACAATGCAAATATTGTAATATCTCATACCAGTTATGTAAAGAAATCTTACATCTATTTAATTGCTGGAATTATTTTCCCCCTCTACGAATTGTCTTCATATGAATCTACCTTTTTAGTTGGTAAGCGTCCCGTTAATGTTTGTAAGAAACTTGAAGTCTCTGTGTGCGAAGACATACGATTACAACTTCGATCCATAGCCTATGGAGTGAAGATGAATGAATGACGAGATAACATTAATGTTTCCACTAGATGACTTTGCAGCTCAAGGATATGTACAATTTAAATATAGAGTTTTACTGTGGTTTCAACAACCATCTATTTTATTGCTCATCTCATTTTCACCATTTTATGCTGCTTTAATGACAATGAACTACAAGTATCAAAATGGCTTCCATATATTTTTAGTCTTCAAAAGATATTTTAATAATTATATAAAATTTAGAGTGCTGCAAAGAATGAAACTTGTATCTGTGTGATCTATACACATGCACATATCTAATAAAAATATATAAAAAGTATAAACATACTTCTCAACTGGTCTTAAACCAAAAAAGAAACCAAGAATTTCATATTCTATAAAGAAAATAAAAAGTTTAGGATGATTTTTCACTATTATCCAAAACCACTGTTAAGATTTGTCATATAATACATCAAATATAATATTAAGCACAGCATTAAAAATTTTCTTAAAAAACAAGAGAATTTTTCTCCAAAGCCAACATGCAGATGAGAAGTATATTTTAAGGTATCATGCAGTATTAGCTATCAAGCAACGAGTCCTAAGTAAGCAAAACCTAATTAAACTAAGTTATAACAAATTTCATACTTTGCAACATGGTACAAATTAAAATAGATTTTGGCTTCTGGTATTTAATCTTATAGCATGGGGATCATATACTGTTCACATTTAATTTCAACTTATTACCAGTCTTTCTATTCAGTGATCATGAAAAAAAAATGACAAGATAGTAAATGCTAAATGAAAACGATGTAATAGCTACACTTAAAAACAAAGGCAAATGGAAACCTGTTGGGTTTTTTTCCACATAAAATTTTTTAAAATTCCTAGTAAGTATGTGCTACCCCTAAAGTAGAAACTGTTAAAAAAGCCATCAATTGCATAAGCAGCAGCCACTGATATACTGATAGGGTGTACAAGGAAGGAAGAAGGAGATAGGAAAGGAGAGCATTACTGGTGCAATTGGTGGTATTCATGCATAGAAGTTGAAAAATGTGCTAAGTAAACATAAATACACACTTTTTTAATGATTAAAAAAAGCAAGCCACTGAAATCATAGTATACACTAAAAAGTAATGTTCTAAAAGGAAACATCAGCAGCCAATAAAGAAACCTCTGATGTAAACACCACCTGTGTTGATTCTGCACTTGGACTGGGGTTGGATCCCCATGGGGCAGCTTTTGGACCACCAGTGTTAACCCAGGAATTGGAGCGATCTAAACCCTAAGCATATAATAGAAAGCAGTTGGAAAGGAAAGAAATATTACATGTTGCATGCTATAAATTATTCTTAAAGAAACCCAGACCTTCCAATGCAAACATGTTTTTAATTAGTACTGTGAAAGCAATCAAAATTTTTAGGCACCTAAAAAGAATTAGTTCACCCAAATTATCTTGTTATACAATATAATTTTTAAAAAATCATCAAGAATATTAAGTATGGCACTTAAAGGTAATTTCTCCATAAAAGGATCACCTTGAAGTATCAACAACTAAAATTCCCACAGCACTCACCACTCCCCCAAACTCTCTTTAAAAGTAGTACAAGTTAGCAACAGATAATTTCCTCTGAATCTAATTGAGATTTAAAGAAAAAGAATAGAAGAAAAACATTTCATTCTTTACTAAAAGACTAATTTCATTCCATCTCTCATCACCTGAGAACTACCATGCAGTAATACTCCATAACTGTATTTGACCTTGCTTCCTCATTCACTTTCTTTTAGGGACAGATAAGAGAAATTAAGTAAAAAATTAAAAAATATATATATATCTAATACTTGATGCTTCTTAATAACAATAGTGGATTTGGATTTGTGTTCAGTTTGATTGTACTAGTAATTAAACATAATGGGCTGCTATTTTCTATAAATATCATAAGGAAAAACAATATGTTGGAGCTGTCCATATGAATTATATCTTCATCATCACCTTTCGTTAAAGTTTCTTTAATATGTATATGACCGGAAGTAAATTATGTCTGTCTTTCTCTGAAAGGGATTACTGATTCCAGGTGAAAGGAACTGAGGCTTTACTTCTATTTCCTAAATGTGATGGATCATCAGAATCACTTGAGAGGGCCGGCCCGATGGCGCACTCTGTAGAGTGCGGTGCTTGGGAGTGCTGGCGGCGCTCCCGCCGAGGGTTCGGATCCCATATAGAGACCGGTCCGCTCACTGGTTGAGCGCAGTGCGGGCGCGACACTGAGGGTTGCGATCCCGTTGCCGGTCGCGGTACGGGCGCGACACTGAGGGTTGCGATCCCATTACCGGTCACGAAAAAAGACAAAAAGGAAAAAAAAAAAAAGAATTACTTGAGAAACTTTGTAAAATTTAGATTCTGAGCACTACCCCCCAGAAATCCTAATTGAGCAAGGTGCGCCGGGCACCATCGGAATCTGCTAACGAGAACCGGAGCACGTTGTGAGGGCTTTTTAGATGATTATTAGGGTAAGAATAACAAAGACAACCCAAGACAAGCTGTTTAAGAATATTAGGGCATGAGTACGAACCCAAACCACAAAGCACCAAAGGAGGGACAGATAAAAGAAAACAGAGTTGTAACAATGGTAATCAACTCTGTGTAGACATTAATGTCACCTAGGAAGCTCAACAACAGCAACAACAAATGCACAGGACCCTACCTCAAAACAATTAAATCAGAATTGCTAGGAGGCCTGGACATCAGTATTTTTTAAATACTTCAAGAGAAGTTTTAAAAAGGAAGAAAAAGAAAAAACTGCAACTCTCAAGGGCTAAGGTTTTAAGGAGAAAATTTCCTCGGCTTTTTCCTAAATATATAGAGAAGTTAAGATGATGATACAATAATCTCTTCATTTTTGACACTAAATACCTAAGATGGGCGTTGAGGTTCATATCCAGTCTCTCCAGTTTACTAACTGTAAAGTCTAAGATAAATTACTTATTCTTTTTCAGTTTCTTATCAATAAAATAAGAGCAATAACAGTATCTCCCTCATATTGTAAGGATCAAACTAAATAGTGGAAGTAAATTACTAAGTGCAATGCCTCGAATATAGTAAGCTCTCAAAAATAGTTATTACACAAACTTTCCATATACATTTTTAAAAAATGCTTTCTTGAAAAAAATTAGACAATATCCAAATGCCAGTAAAATTACATAATCAGTAGATTTGCTTAAAATACAATACCTGCATTCTTGGAACCCTAATACAACATTTTAAATAAAAGCAAATCAACAGGTTTATGTTTTTCAGATAAGTTAAAACAAAGTTTTCACTAGTCTCCAAAATTATGTCTCCACTGTATAAGTGTGAAGTTCTTTCTGTCATATTCAATTTCTATAGTCACTATTTATGTTACAAAAATAACAAAACATAAGTATCTGATTTTTGTGAAATTATAATTGTACTTTTCTCTCCCATAAATATCAACAAAAGAAATAACAATAACTTTTCTGTATTCTTAAATTCACTTTTCAACTCATTGTTTAATCATGTCCTTTAAAATTAAGGTACATGATAATCAGTAATGTCAGAATAAAAAACATAAACCTTTTTGTGCCACTAACTATACTTTATATACACAATACCGGTGCTCCAAACAGTTATAATTATATCAAAGATAATTATTTAAAGAAAACCTGTGGGCAATTATTTTGTAAAGAGAACAACTCCCATAATCCAGTTGTTACAAAGCTAAGAATTATATCAAACATCCCTGAGTTAAGCAAATTCATCACCAATATTTACTCATATAGTAACTTTTTAACATAGAACAGATTAACTGACTGTGTGCACATGTGTATGTAAGTTTGGCTAAATCCCAGTAACACTATTAATTTTGTCCCTTACATGTAGATAAGCTCCTTGAGCAAGGTCCATATTGTATTTAATTTGACATCAACACTCATGTTATAATACAAAGATATGGCTTTATAGTCACAAGACCTCAGCACAGTGCCTAGCACATAGTAGCTCTCAGTGTCTGAGAAATACATAAAAAAAATAGGAGATGATATGTTGGAAAGCAACCACAAATTCTCATTTTGTGATGGCTTCCTCAGAAACTAATTTATATTTATATTATATATATAAAAACTATGTCCCATGTGATAAACTTCTTGAAAAAAGGCAAAAAAAATTCATATACATACATAAACCTTTTGTTCTAAATCTTGAGGTTATAATCTATCAAATATATCATGTAAAGGATTAGTTTAGAATTATCCCAAATGAGAAATAATACAAATCTTACATAAATTAAGAGATATTTAAAAAGTAGAATTTTAAGGAAAATGCTGCCTATAGCTCTTTGATAAGAAAATTTCTTATGATTCATTCTACTGAATCAGATTCATTCTATGAAGAATTACACTTATTAGTATATAAATAATGTTAAGTATTGCGTTCATTACAATGACATATGATAAAGAATGAAAACAAGAATTAAAAATCTGAGTTCTTTCCTAAACGTGTATTATTTGTTGGGGAGGAGGAGCATTCTCTTTTGCAACTGCCATATTACTAAAGTTAATCTGGAATATCCTGTATAAATACACCTGCACATCATTCTCTCTAGGAGTTCAAAAAAAACTGAAAGTTGTTTAATAAGAGAAGCAGTTATATGGATCTTTAAGTTATTAAAATCCATGTTTTAATTTGTTATTTAAATCATAAGGCTGAACGCTGGCTGGTTAGCTCAGTTAGTGCATGGTGCTGATAACACCAAGGTCCAGAATTCAATCCCTGTATCAGCCAACCAAAAAGAAACCAAAAAAATTATGTTACTTAAAATAAGCAATATTTAATATGAATGCTTAATATGAAAGTGTTAACATTCATTAATGTAAATTAATCAGAAGCTTCTGAATATAAAACTTTTATAACTATATAAAGTGTATATAATTTTGTAACTGTATGAACTACAAGAGAAGTTCTGACGTTTTTGATCAATGTTCAGGTATCTTACCTAACAAATAAACCAACCCCCTGATCTTTAAAAGTTCTGGCTAAGAGTTAAACATAGACCCTAGAACATGCTTATTAATTCTTCCTCAAATCCTGGTTAACATACTAAAATGTCAAAGAAAAGTTGTCTATGATGCTATAAAAATGGCATCTCCCTCTTTTCCAATAGCAAAAAAATAAGTTCGAAATAGTTTGGCCAAAACTCACCATGATGTGATTTCTTGGCCTCAGTCTTATTGTACTTTTGTCTAGCTGGCTGAACGCTGAGATACTTTTGTACTTTACATATGGAAAGGCAATAACTATTTGTTCCTTAAGTATATTTTTTTAGGTTATAAAGATGAATGCTTTGAATTAAATATAGCTAGATTTTATACTAGCTGGCCTCTTTCTTTTTGTCTGGGATAATCACTAACCATCATTAATTGAATTGTACTTTTCTAATCCTGGTAGACCTTACATAGAGTTCCATATAAAATGTAACTCTATTACCAATCAAGGCTAATCACTGTTCTTGATATTTTTTATAGAAGGGGGGCTCATACTTTAAATCAATGATGACATGTCTTTTTTTTTTAGACAGTAGTCACATAAACCTCTTTTAATTCTATACAGTAATCTAGCCATTCTTCACATGATGGAGTATCAGACAGACAATAGTAATATGTGACTAGTTATCCCAAACAAATTTTAGAATTCAGTGGATTATTTTTTAGCAGAGTACACAAACCAGTTTGTAATAGCAAGCATTATTTAATAGAAACATGAAACACTCAGTGTTTACTGTTAGAATAGAAATGTACAATATCTTTCTTATTCCTAACTAAAATTCATTACAAAATTAAGAGTAAATTAAAACAACTGGACATTTTCCATCTGTTCATAAACTGAAAACCAGATTTACAGTCGCATGCCTTCAGTTTACCTTACTGCCAATGATTGACCGGACTTCATCATCTGGTGACGTGGGAGTCCCAGATATATCTGGATTACTATTACTAAGGCTCCGAGAACGATTTAAATTAAGGCTTGCAGGTCTCACAGCAGATCTAGCCATTGTGGCATAATGCACTGATCCTCCCAAACCCCCAGGACCTAGAGTTGCATATAAAAGAGTACACAGTTAAACAAAGAAAATTAGTCAAGAAAGGACCTGAAAAAAATCTCTTCCATTTTACAAAATTCCACAAAGATTATGAACTGCTTTTGTTTCTAAATGAAAAATACTATAAATTAAAAAAAAAAAAAAAAAAAAACCACACGTAAGAAATAAACACACTCAAGAACTAATGGCAGCTACACAAAATATTCTATTTTATAGCAGCTGACAAAACCATGTGAATTATAAATAAAATCACTATCTCTTCAATGTCTCTATGATTATATATTACAAGTACATGTACAATAAAAAAAATTAGTAGGAAACACAAGCACTTCCTTCACTTAGATACAGTTGTATCTAGGACCTAAAATGCTCCAGCTGAAATCTCTTCCTTTTTTCCCCACCCCTCCTACTCCGCCCCTTGATACACAGTCACTAGGGGGAGAGCTAATTTATTGCCAACATCTCTTAAATGAGACTATGCTTTATTTTTCTATCATCATTGGTTGACAATGTGAACAATAACAAAAATGGCATCTTTATGATATACATACAAAAAACTAAAGATAATTCTAACAGCTCAGGTTATGTAAAAAAGCAAAGAATACCTTTTGGTCTGACTAAAATTAAGCCTGACATCATCTTTCAACAATGTTCTATGAACATAAAAAAATCTAGCAATTAGGGCCGGCCCGGTGGTGCACTGCTACAGTGCGCCGCTTGGGAAGCGCGGCGGCGCTCCCGCCGAGGGTTCGGATCCCACGTGCACGTGCAGACCGGCGGCTCACTGGCTGAGCGAGGAGCGGGGGCAACACCGAGGGTTGCGATCCCGTTGCCGGTCCGGTACGGGCGCGACACTGAGGGTTGCGATCCGTTGCCGGTCATGAAAAAAGACAAAAAAAAAAAAAAATCTAGCAATTATATCCATAATCTACCTCCATTATTTTTATTTATAGAAATCTTTCTAAATGTTATATTTGCAAATGATACATACCTGTCAACTAATTAAAAATTTATACAATCTTTCAGGTCAGCATGTAAAAAACACATTTTGCAAAATCTGTGGAATTCTAATAGCTTACTGAATCGAAGGGTAAATGGAGGAGTATTATACTCTACAATCACTCACACACTCAGATCCTCAAGTAGTATAATTTTGAAAATCAAGATAGGAAATTATGAACCAGAATACAAGATTATATATTTTTGCAATCAAGTAAAGAAATAAAGTGGGCTAAAACCTAGAGTCGGATTACTATCATATCTAGTTTTCATAAGGAATGTCATAATCATTTATCACGATTATCAGTGTTAACATTATCAATAGCTGGAAAAGTGTACTTACCATTATCACTAGTGAAGAATGATGACTCATACAAATATGTGAATAGGTTGAAACTATGCACAACATAATCATTAGCTAACTAACTGAACAAGTAAAGGGTTATTCAAACTAAGATACACCAGTACCACCAATGACATGCAAAAGACATTTAACTACTTGTGGACCCAATACTCAAAATGGCTATACTATCTTATTGACCATGAGGAGGTTAGAACTTTCCAGAGAAAATCTTTTATATTATTGTAGTTCTCACAGGGTTATCAGGGAACTACTGAGTCACCTTATTTCTTCTTTAATGCCTATCAGCAATCTGAATGACAAGTATAAAATTCTATTCAACTTATCTTAACAAGGAATGATAAGATGCTTCCAGAGACATAAGAAGTTATCTTCAAGGTCCATTTCCAAGAATTAATTCAACCAAGATCTCTAATCCAAATTAAAGGAAGTTATATAAATAATGATGGTTAAAAATGTAACTTATTTGTCCCTTTAACTCCAATACCTGGCATAGTGAAATATACTTAGCAGGTATTCAATAACTGTTTGCTATTGAATGAATGCATCAAACTATGGACTTTAAGATTATCTCAATCCTGCCATGAACACATAATTCATGAAAGACAGTTTCATGGTAAAAAAATAAAATAAAATACCTGGCGATGGTGAATTAGGATATGTATTTGGTAAGCGAAAAACATAATAGATATATGATGCAAGAAGGCTGTTTCTGCCATGCTGGTCATGATTTCCTTCCAAATTTTTATGAAGTCGATTTATAATTGATGCCATGGCTTCAAAAGATGCTTGACCTAGATTAACTTTTAAGAAGGAGAAAAATACTTTTGCTGTAGCTTTTTTAGATATGTTCCATAAAGATCAAGGTTTTGTCATCTCTATATGCTTTAAGTACAGTGATTATACACAGTAAGTGTATAAAGATATTTGATATTGATTTTAATAACATCTGGTATTAGCTGAACCAACAATACTTTTCTAAACAAAATGAGAAAAAACTCATTTTACTATTTTAACATGAAAATTATATGGATTTGATTAGTCAAAAAACAAAATATTGGGGCCGGCCCGGTGGCGCACTGCGCTAGTGCGCCGCTTGGGAAGCGCGGCGGCGCTCCCGCCGAGGGTTCGGATCCCACATACAGACCGGTTCCCGCTCACTGGTAGCAAGTGTGTACCCTGCGGATGTCATTCTGTACTTATTCAGAAAATATTTACAAAGCACCTACTATATGTCTGGCACTCTTCTAAGTGATAGATTATATTTCCTCCTCATATTTCTAAGAACTTTACAACCACTCTCTTAAATATTACTTTTTAAGACAAACTGTACTCAATAATAAAACTAGATAATCAGCACAGACTCAGCATCATACACATTTCATTTGTTGCATTTATCACTACTGCAATTCAATAACTATTTGTTTAATGTTCATTTTCCTAGTGTATTTTTCCTCTCTGTATCCCCAGACACTAATATCATTACTTGGAGAGAGTAAGGTCTCAAAAATATTTGCTGAATAAAGTAATGATGTCATTTATATTCTTCAACAGCTCTGAAAAAAAAAAAAAAAAAATATTGCCCAACAGATATTCATTATTTTGTAAAACAATACATAATAAGAAAAAAAAATCTATCTTGTATATCACCTGGAGAAGCAACTTCTTGTTTTAAAGATGATTCTGAAAATCTAAATAGCACACAATGAGAACGTTTCATCTGTTTAAAAATAATTAAAAATATAAACAATAGAAAAATTATTAAAAATACTAAATATAAGAAAAGGGAATAGTGAACAAGCAACTTGACTGATAAGAGTGAATTTTAAAAAGGGGTAAATGGAAAAAGGACTAGAAAAACAGGTTGAGTTAAGACTGTATAGCTTTTTTTTGGCAGCTGGGCTGTATAGGGATCTGAACCCTTGACCTTGGTGTTATCAGCACCATGCTCTCCCAAGTGAGCTAACGAGCCAGCCCTGTATATCATTTTAAATTCAGTCTTTCAAGTCAGTATATAATAAGAATTTTGCAAGAATCAGGGAATTCTGATAGTGCACTGAATAAACTGAGCAGCCATTTTGAGCAATAGAGCCTCAGATTCTATGATTTATTTAATCAAGACAGGAAATTATGAACAGATAATGAGGCCAATTAAGTTTTCTTAAAAGTGTAATAATCAGATAAAATGGTCATTTAGGAAGATTAATCCATAAATATTGAACTAGAAGGGAAAGAGACTAAAGACAGAAACCTGAGTGGGGTTTAGCAATCCTACTGGTGTTCCTGGTTAATCCCTTTTTCTTTTTTTCATTGTAACTATTCCAAATCATCAGAATCCTTCTCAAAACTCAGGTCAACCTTATTCCCTTCTTAGCAAACCTTGCTTCTCTCTCACCAGAGAAATGTATAAGGCTCATGAAAGTCCTCCAGGTTTTCCAGAATTTATCAGAATCTGAAACTACTTTTATCTCCTTTCCAAAGAAAGCAGTGCCCCCTTTTACCTTCTTTCCAAAGAAAGCATTGCCCCTCTCCTATGAGAGTGATCTACCCACTTCCCTCTTGTCTCACAGACTTGATTCATTAATTAAACCGTTCCTAATTCTGTATCTTGTATTTTTCTCCCTTCTCCCAACAGGATTCTCTCTGCATGTAAACTTTTATCTCCTTTCCAAAGAAAGCAGTGCCCCTCTCCTATGAGAGTGATCTACCCACTTCCCTCTTGTCTCACAGACTTGATCCATTAATTAAACTGTTCCTAATTCTGTATCTTGTATTTTTCTCCCTTCTCCCAACAGGATTCTCTCTGCATGTAAACATGGTCAAATCTCTCCACTCTTATGTCCTACTCAATCCTGCTTTATCTTCTAACTAAATTTCTCAAAAGAGCAGTATATGCTTCTTTTATTCCCTTCCTCATCTACTGTTTACTCCTTAATTTCCTGTAATCTGGTTTCTACCTTCATTTAGGTTAAAACTTTTCTTGTTAATTTCATCAGTGGGCACTTCAAGTATAGTAGGTAAGAGAGGAACTATGGAGACAGTTGTTTTGGTTTGAATCTTGACTCTGCTGTACTAGCTAAGTAACCTTAGACAAAATTTTTAAGCATTATGTTCATCACTTTACTCATTCAGGAAATAGTAGTAATAATACATACTACATAGGGTTCTTGTGAGAATTTCATATATTAATATAAATAAACCACATAGCACTATTCCTGGTACATAGTAAGTACTATGTAAGTGCTTGCTATTCTTGTTATTACTATTATTTTACTCATACAATCTACAACAAAGAACGATGCTAACCTTTTTTTCTTAAAACCTTCTCCTGTGACTTCTGAAACAGTACTCTATCTCTTAATCTACCCTCTCTTCTCCATCCCATTGCCTTTTATCAGGATATCATCTTTTTTTGCATGAAATTTTTCAAGATGCATAATTTGTCTCCCTGCCTCCAGATTTTCCTACTTTCAACCCATTTCCATGTATTATAGCCATCTTTTTAAAGGCAAACCTGGTCATGTTACTTCTGGAATTAAGAGCAGACCCTTCAAAGGCTATTGATTCCGTACAGAAAAACAGTCCCAGTTCCCTAGAGTATAATGAAAGACCCTACCTCATCTCTCACCTCTCCATATCACCTCTAATCATCAATCCTCCAATTTATAACTAATTACTTATATTTCTTGCCCCAAATTTCCAACTTAATTTATTTGTCTATGTACTATGCACATGCTGTTTCATCTCCCTGGAATAATATTTACCTTTCAGACTCCTATTCATCTTTAAATGCTAAACCCAAGAACTACCTCTACTTATACTTCTCCCCTAAAAAAATCTCAAGGAGTTGAATATTCCTTTCTCTTATGCCACCGCTCAATGCAAAACTTCTGTAACAAGTTAGCTGAAATTTCTTTCAAGCTCAACTTCTTTTCAGGATTTGGGTAGGAACTGCTGGCAAAAGTAGAGGATGAACCCTTGGGAAAGGATGGGAATAAGGAACATCTCACCTTCCAGAACAACAGAGAAGAAAAAGAGAATACATGATTTTGATCAAATGAAGGAAAAAATAGCTATATTAAATGGAGGATAGCAGATGAATGAAAATATAGACTAGGTAGATTATATGTCCTATAAAATATAACATGATTTATCTGTTTGCCTGTTTTCTTTACTAGTCTGTGAGATCACAAAGTCAAAAACCATGCCATGGACAATGTCTATCACAGAGTAAGTGCTTAATAAATATTTGGTAAATGGATATATTATTTTGCTTCCATAATTTGAGTAGAAGTCTATATGGCACACTTTATAAAAAAAACAAAAGAAAGTTATCATTTTCTAGCATTAGAAACAAGTAAAAAACAACCCCCCCCCACCATCAAACGTAGTCCTTATAGATAGCAAATAGAAATCATGGTTCTTTCTTTTACAAAAGTTAGAAATGCCAAATTATAAATTTCATCATTCACCCCCAAACAAAAGTAAATTACCTATTTGGCCAGCAATGACAGGAGGTCTAACAACTAAAAGTATCAGCTTATCAAGCAGAAGATGAAGAAATCGGACCACTGGTTCCAACTGAGATGAATTCAATGCTGAAATACTACTTTTCAATTCATTTTCTAAGTTATTTTCCATTATTCGCATGTCCCCAATTCGGACTGGGAACATGTGTTCATCCAGAGCATTGACCAGAGCAAAAAACTTGTCAAGATAGGGATCCTAAAACAAAGAATAAACAAACTCACTAAACAATTATACTAAATTTCCCAATTCTAAAGGACTAATATCTCATATTAATGGATAATACAAAAAAGTCCATATAGGTATATACAAACATTATTTCAAATTAAACACATCTATTCTCATCTGTTATTGTAAAATAGCCACTTAAAATACTATTGGCTACTCAAGAAATCTATTAATAGTAATTAAGGATTTTTTTTCTAGTTTGAGTTTGTCTTACTAGTTTGGAGCTCAATTATTGTGGCAGGTATATTAGTAACCTACCTGTGCCCACTATGAGTATTAATTTATTGCCTCTTAGCCCCAAACCGACTGTCTGCCATATTTTGTAATACTGGTGCTAGACTCTTCAAACTATATTTCTCCCTTGTCTGCTGGCTTGTGGTTAGGCTCAGACCATAAAGGGTGCAGGACGCAGTCTGCCAGGCTTGAGGAGTTAAAAGAGACTGTTCTTCTTTGTTTTCCTAATGGTGGGTAGCAGATATGAATGCTGTGACTCAGAGGTAAGGGTCAAGGGTCATAGGCAGCAGGGTTCACCAGAGCAGTGGTGGCTCTCATACGTCCACAGCAGGTGTCCTCCACCAAGTTTCTTCAACAGTACCACATGGTAGGCAATGTGTCCTTATAGCAGCGGCATCCTCTCCTCAGAGGTCTGTTAGCCTTCAGGATCTTCCACTAGGTTTCTAAGTTCTTTTGCTGACACTTTCTGTAATTGTTATCTTTGTTATAAACTGTGCAGAATTCTTTTACTCCCATTTAGTAGTGATTCACCTCTAACCCAGTTAACAATTCTTTATATTAAATTTTCTCCATTCAAATTACTGGTTGTTTTTGTCTTCTCACTAATCCCAACTGCTACTGTTTAGCCTGCTACACTGCTAACAGAACCAGTCTTATTTAAAGAAGCAATGTGCCAGGTTCCAGGATAGATGCTTTCTCTCCTGGCCTCATATACTGAGAGATGGTCATGTGCTATAGTTCTGACCAATGAGAGGTGAGCAAAAGTCTATTGGAACTCTAGAAAGACTTTTACTTACTTAACAATCAAAATAAACTTTAAGAAAATGTACCAATGCTGTACAGCTTCACATTTATAATTCTAATGTTCTAATTTGATACGTATTTAAATATACTTTTGAGCTCTAACTATATGTCTAATATATTTCAAGGAGTTACAAGAAAGTATAAAACATCATAAAAAAATGTTTGTCTTCAATTGATCCTTTTAAAAAGGTTATAATACACAATCAATTTGTTTTATATAGTTGCAAAATTTATAAACTTTGGAGTACTGTTGTCCCCTGGTATCTGCAGGGAATAGGTGCCAGGATCTCCCAAAAATCCACAGATGCTCAATCCCCTGATATAAAATGGTGTAGGTATTTGCATATAACCTACACACATCCTCCCACATACTTAAAATCATCTCTAGTTTACTTATAATACCTAATAACTGTAAACGCTACGTAATTAGTTGTTATACTGTGTTTTCTTGTTTGTATTATTTTTTACTGCTGTATTGCTATTTTTTATTGTTTTTTCCCCTGAATATTTTCGATCCTTGGTTGGTTGAATCCAAGGATGTGGAACCTCTGGACGCTACGTAATTAGTTGTTATACTGTGTTTTCTTGTTTGTATTATTTTTTACTGCTGTATTGCTATTTTTTATTGTTTTTTTTCCCCTGAATATTTTCGATCCTTGGTTGGTTGAATCCAAGGATGTGGAACCTCTGGATACAGAGGGCTGACAATATTAGTCATCAGGGCTATGAATGCCAGGATGCTACACAGTAGACACTTGCACTTTATTCTTCCTCTACATTGTATAAATTGTGAATCACATGTATAACATATTTTGCCCAAAATAAGTCTTTGACACATAAAGACAACACATATATCTGCTTCCATAAAACCAAAGTTAGGAGTAAAAGATAAATGTACTGACAAATCTAAAAAGAAAAAACTAACAATGATTATAGGAAAAGGAAGAAAACAGGCATGAAAAATAATGTATTTGTATATTTAAGAAGATACAATGTGAATCTAAGAATTCTTCTATTAAGGGAAAGAAAATGTTCCAATAGTATACTATAATATCAATCTTTCCATGAACAGAAAAATAAAGAATATAGGAAGCACAGGACACACACAGTAACTTCAGAAAAGGAGTAAGTCCACTGGAATCATTCTTTTACTGGGGTCTTTCTGTGTACTGCTAAATAAAACCAATATACTACCAAAACTTTGTCCTAAACATAGTATAGAGGTGCTGTGTCTTATTTTCCCATAGCTCACTGTGCAGAAAACAGTTAACATTGTAGCCTTAAGACTACTATCCTCTGAAAGTCCTGCTTACCAGGTTGGCCTTCAACTGATGTCTGGGAACCTGGATTACTAGATGGTTCCCAGTGATAGGAGATGGCTCACTGTGCCTACACTGTTTATACAAACAATATGGTTTATGCTGAACCCCTGCTTTCTTTCCTTCTGGGAGTCTGGAATTCTGGTTCGTGTTGGGCACAGGGTGCCTTTGTGACAAGCCCCTAGTAAATATCCTGGGAATTGAGTCCCGACTGAGCTTCCCTGGCAGACAATCCTTCACTGTGTGATTCTACTGGAAGAGGACTCTTGGAAGCCTGTGGCTTGTTTCCTCTGGACTTTGCCCAGTGCACTTTCTCCCTTTGCTCATTCCGCTTTCCATCCTCTCACTAAAATAAAGCATAGCTGTATGACTATATGCTGGGTCCTGTTAAGTCCTCCTAGCAAATCACTGAACCTGAGGTGGCTTTTGGAAGCCCTCCATACCACCCACTTCCCTTTACAGGTTGGTAAACACCTGAATTCCATTTTAAACATTTGCCTCTTCTCACTCTACATTTCCTCCCCTGGAAAAATCACATTTATCAATATAGTTCGTTACCACATTTACTGTTACCTCCAACCCCAACCCCCAAATTAATTGTAACTGCCTATATAACATCTCCATCTGAAGTGCATAGGCACGTCAAACTCAACAGCTGCAAAAGTAATATAGCTCCATAATTGCTCTCCCTTAGCCTACCCCCAAATTTACTTCTCTCATGTTCTCTATTTACATTAGAAATTAAACTGTATGGCATTCAGGGTCCTTCATAAACTGTAACTAGTCTGGTCTTCTGTCTTTATCTATCACAATTTCCTATGCACTTTAAGTTGCATTCACACCAGATTACTTGCCAGTCTTTAAACACAGACTACTGTCACTTTGCACTTGCTATCTGATCATCTGAGTTGTCCTCCCTCCCCTTCTCTGTATGATAAATGCCTAATTATCAATATAACAGCTCAGTCCCCAGCAGAAAAGACAACTCTCTCCTCTGTACTTGAAAGGATTTAGTTGATATATCTAACATAGCACTCATTTTATTAAATTATAATTATTTTTACATTTTCCCCTATTATCCCCTATTACACTGTAAGGTCCTTGAAGGAAAGGCTCTTTCCTTGACAGGTAACATCTCTGACCTCATGGAGCTTACAGCCTAATGGGGGAAGGAAACAATAATAAATGTGTATGTTCATATATAAATACATAGAAAGAGAGTGAAAGTACACCAGAAGGAGAAAAAGAGAGAGAGGCAGTAATAAGTGCAGGGTAAGACAGCACAGAGTAATGGCGCTGCTATATTTAAAATAGTCACCAAACAAGGCCTCTCTGAGGTGAAGAGAAACCCTAATGAAGAGAAGTCAAATGACTATCAGGAGGAAAAGCATTCCAGCCACAGAAAAAGTAAGTATAAAAGCTTTGAAGAGAACTTGGCAAGTTCCAGAAATAAAGTGAAGAGGTTAGAGCAAATGATCCCTAAAAACTCTTTCCATTTGAAATATCTGGGTCTATGAGAAATGAAATGAGTTGAATGATAGTTTTTCAACTCTGATTATTCTGCCATGTATCAGAAACTTAGATAAAAGCAAGTCACTTAATTGTTCAAAGTGAAGTCGAAGACATTTTGAAAAGCAAAATGTTTGCTTTTATTGACATTCAATGGCATTTTGTTGATTCCTTAAAAAGAAATGTCTAAATCTGTTTCTAACTGACATATATTTTTATAAGTCTGACAGCAGATGACACCACTGACATAAGTACTAGATAATATATTCAATTCATTTAAGTGAAATTTGATCATAAGAGTTATTGAGATTCACTTACTTGTGTATGAATAGATGAAACAGCAACAACTTCAACATTAAAAACACCTTTGTGATTATCTACCCATTTCATGCCAGGTAGAGGAACCTGCAAGATATTGAATATAATGATCACAGATTCTTAAATAGGTGTATGAGTCCTGAAAACACAAAAAAATTTATAATATCTCAATGAGCAAAATATTGCAAAAATATGTTTATTCACTGTAAATAAAATGAAACATATTTTTATTTATATTTTATTATGAAGTCGAAAATATTTTCTATAAGAGAATTAAAAGGTGCAAGGAGCAAAAAGCAGAAAACAATATCCAAAATTTCCATCTTTCCAGAGATATATCCTCTTACAGCATTTCAGATCTTCCTCTATGCACATATATTTTTATAAATACCCTTACATAGTTAATACCAATCATTACTTGGAAACCTGTTTTTCACATATTACACTGTGAATCTCTTTATCTCTTTTCGTGTCAATAAATTCACATGTACGATGTCACTTTAAGAGTTTATAATATTCCACTTTATTTTAAACATTCCTATTATGTTTTAACTGGGCCTTAAAATACTCACAAGCAAAAGAAGGCTGTTACTTCAAGGAGTAGAAAACTTTTCTGATGTAAATTGCTAGGAATGTTGATTAAAATTATTTCACAAAAAATTTTTTTAAAAGCTAGTACATAAATTCTCTATTTCCCCTGCTTAGTATAGCTAAAACCCTGAAACATGATACATAAAATGAACATAAAGACTGAAAGGTAGAGAGAAGAATGAAAATGGACTAGAAACCTCAGGATGCAACTACAAGGCAGTATATCGTAGGTGTTATTTTTGCCTCATATATCCTGGACTGGGAGCTAGAGAGGCTGGCAACCCAGAAATGCCAAAAGAAGCAGACAAACACAACCCCAAGAAAAGCCTGCTCTCTTTAGCCAAAGATAATAATACTCCAGCCAATTACAAGGGAACAAATCTTGGTTCCACTCCCACCTTCACTGGCTGATTTAGAAGTCTAGGCTGCCACCCTCAGCTGGCTGTAATAAGGTGCCCCTTTCCCCAACCTACGCCCCCCACACTGGCGGGTAGGTTGGGGGTGTAAGGGAAGACAGAGTTGGAAACCTGTCCCCGCCTCATGATAACAAGTCCCTACCCAACTGTGGTGTCAGTGGAGGCCAAGCAGGGAGCAGTAACAAGGTGCCCCCTCTGCCTCACAACCAGAGAGGTGTAAGCAGAGGACTACTGGGGAGCCTGAAATCCTACTCTCACGCAAAAATGAGCCACCCCTACCTAAACCATCCCAGGGAGTAAAAGGAGGCAGAGTAGAGAATGTGGACCTTCACCTGGCAGTAGTGCCTCCCTCCTGCACTGCTAAAGCAGAGTATTTCAAAAAGACCTAGAGACTCATAATTTAATATACAAAATGTCCAGGATGTAATCAGAAATGAAGCATCATACCAAAACCAGAAAAATCTCAACTTAAATGAGAAAAGACAATCATTAGTCACCAATATTAGGATGACACAGATGTTAGATAGATCTGACAAAGATTTTAAAGCAGGCATAGTAAAAAATGAGGCTGGGTAGTCAGAGCACAACCTTATAAAACCAAGGTCACAGGTTCAGATCCCCATATAGGCCAGCCGCCCCCCCGCCAAAAAAAAAAAAAAAAGCTTCAACAAGGAATTAAAAAAACCCTTAAAAAAAAAGGGAAAAAAAAAAAAAAAAAGCTTCAACAAGGAATTAAAAAAACCCTTAAAAAAAAAGGGAAAAAAAAAAAAAAAAAGCTTCAACAAGGAATTACAAATACCCTTGAAACAAATGGGAAAAAAAAATCAGACTCAGCAAAACAAAAGAAGTATAGAAAACACGAGGTATTTCTTTCCCATGATTTTATCTTTTTAGCATGTCTAGAAAAGAAAATCAAATAAAGTCAGTTTCCTATTACAAATCTCAAAACTAAGTAGGTAAGAAACTCAATACCTCTACTTAGGCAAATAATAAAGCTTTTAAAATATTTTTGGATAAACAGCTGGTGGAGTAAATTGAAACTTATCAAAGCAAGAAATAGGATTAGCACTTTCAACCCAAAACATTTGTTTTCAGCTTTTGAAAAATAAGATACACAAGTAATAAGTGCATATGTACCACTTTTAAAACAGCAGTTCTTAAAGTTTGGTCAGAGTAGGCAGCATAAACATCATATGGGCACTGTTAGAAATGCAAATACTCAAGCCCCAACCCAGACCTACTGCATCAGAAACTCTAGGGATAAGCTTCAACAACTGGTATCACAACAAATTCTCCAGGTAATTTTGACGCACACTAAAGTAAGAACTGCTGTCTTAAAATATACTCTAATAAGCAGTGGCAATGGCAGCAGCATAATAATACAAACACTTCTGTGCACATTTCATGCGCCTGGCACCATTCTCAGTGCTCTCCATATTATTGTATCATTCAATCATCAATATAATCCATTATTGTAGGTATTAACTATTCTCATTTTACAGATGAGAAAACTGAGGCACAAAGAATGTCTTAGTTCTGGCTACAATAACAAAATACCATAGACTGGTTGGCTTAAGCAACAGAAATTTATTTTCTCACTGTTCTGGAGACTGGAAGTTCAAGATCAAGATGCCACCATGGTCAGTTTCTGGTGAGGGATGTCTGCTTGGATTGCAGATGACCTCCTCACTGTGTCTTCACATGATGAAGAGAGAGAGAGAGCAAGCTCTCTGGTGTCTCCTCTTACAAGGGCACTAATCCCATGAAGGCCTCACCCTTATAACCTGAACAAAACCTAATTGCCTTCTAAAGGCCCCATATCCATTGAGGGTTAGGGCTTCAACACATCAAGTTTGGGGGACACAATTCAGTCTGTAGCACAGAGATTAGGAAACTTGCCCAAGACACACAATTGTTAAGTATTGGAGCCAAGATCAAAACCTAAAAAGTTGTATATTGCCTTTCAAAAGCATATAAATTTAAAACAACAACAACAACAACTTTCACAATCCCACACCCCTTCTGAGAACTAACTTTTCTAAATTTAGTGTATACTCTCCAAACCATTCCCACACAAGTACCTACATGCAGAGTTTGGTTGTTGCTATATTATTTGTTTGTATGTTTTTATTGTAAATGTCCTATTGTGATTTTAAATCTGTATCACTTCTCTTAATTACTGCACTATTGTACTGAAGTACCAAAATTTAATTAAACGTTCTCCTATTGGTCGATATCCAGGTAATTTCCACTTTTTAATTTTTTGCTAATACCAATAATACTGTAATTTTTTATATTTAATTCATATAACAAATATTTGTCAAAGTCTCTACATAGTTTTCTAGGTACTAGGGTTACATGATAAACAATAAATATAAGCTATGCTCTCAGGAAGTTTACTAATCGGGGAGAGAAAAAAGTAAATAAGATAATTTCAGATAATGATAAGTATTAAGTAAATAAAATAGAATTAAAGAGTGGTAGAGTGGCATCAGCATCATGGAGGGTGGAATGATTGAAAATTCATGCATAAGAATAGACCTCTCTGAGGAAGTGCTATTGTACCTACAATAAGGAAAAGGACTCAGCCATGTGAAGATCAGGAAGAGGAAGGAGAAAATTCAAAGGGCTGGAGGCAGGAAAAAGCTTGGGAAAAAGCTGTAAGTACAAAAAGAAGGCAGTATTATGATGGCAAAAGATGATGTTGGAGAAGTGGAAGAAACCAGATCACTCAATGATTTGTAGATCATGCAGAAAAAGATTTGGATTACATTCTATGTGCAATGAAATGCCAGAGGAATATTTTATTGTGATCATAAGCAGTAGAATGAAACCATCTAATTTAAATTTTTTTTAAATTGCATTATTTTGTGAGAATGGATTTCAAAGGGGTAAGAACTGAGTAATATTATAAAGCAGTGAAAGTGAACAAAATAAGAGCTACAAATACCAGAAACACTAAGTCTTGGTAATAAATACCGAATGAAAAAAGCAAGTCCCAGAGCATTATAAACACAATAACCTTTTTAGTTAAATTTTTTAAATAAGCAAAGTAAACAATGTAGTCTTTAGGCATACATATACCTCATTTAAAAAGCAGTTTATAAGTTTAGTTTTCAGAACAAAGTGAATGTATTTAATGCCACAAAACTGTACACTTAAAAATGATTACAATGGTAAATTTTATGTTATGTATGTTTTTACCACAAGGATTTAAAAAAGCTAATTTTTTACAGTTAGAAGGAAGAAGACTATGGAATAGGGGAGGAGCACATAAATGATATAAGTTACTGTCATTGTTCTAGCTCTTGGATTGGGTGGTAGATTCATGAGTGTTTATTATTAAATTGAAAAGCATAAGTATCCATATACAGGTGGAACCACTGTTAAGTTTAAAAACTTGCTATATGCTGTCTTTGCATAGCTATGCAAATTTATTTGTAAGATAAACATAAAGTATAATTCCTGAGATAAAAATGTATGTATATTATTTATTATGACATATTTCAGGCAAAACAATTTCAAGGTCCAGGTGATTATAATGAACATCCTGGATTGAGGTCCATAAGTCTAAAGGGAAAAAAATCCAGTGACAGACTGCCATGCTGGTCTATACTTCAATCTTCTACGAATTTGATAAGCATGAATCTGCTTCCTAGAGCCCAATAAATACTGATCCTGAAAAGCTGACGACATTGAACTGAGGTAATTCACCAGAATATCATCACTCTGTTGAGGCACTTTGGTGGCCAAAGTTTTTCTCTCACTGTAAGGTTCTAACAGTATTCAACAAGAATGAGTCCAATTTTGGACACTTTATGTTTAAAATATGTATGGACCATCCTGGTAAAGACATCACTGGGCATTGTAATTTACCACACAAATAATTGGCAAAAAAAATGGATAAATAGAAGTGCATATTTAGGATTCACTGCAGCAGTCAAGAGCACCTCGATTATTGTACAGGATGTACACTACACAACCTTGGGGGTACCAATCTCATGAACTGTAGTCAGTGGTAATGCCTGAGAAGAACACTTACAGGTTCAGAGTGAGAGGAACATGAATATTTAAGGGGGAAACAGGATAAAAACCAAGAAGATGAGGTATAACAAGGCCATACAAAAAAGCCACTTTTACCCAGTTTTAAGAAGAAAATGATCCATCATGTCAAATCATAAATAGTTTACTGGTTATAGAAATTAGTTTATCATTACCTTAACATGCTTCTATGTCAAGCTGCACGTTCTAAGGTCCAAACAACCACTGAAGTTAAAACATCAAAAATCTCTGACTCATAAAAAGAACCAAAGAGGGTTCCATCTTGGTCAGGAAAGTAAATACAAAATTGTATTAAGCAATGACCTATAAAAGTTGAATGTTTAAATAATTATCTCTTATTTGTTTTAGTTTAAGCACTGAAACTAAGAATACATACTATTCTTTAAATACAATAATAAAACTAAGACTATATGTTGCTTTTTTAATATAGTAATTAAAAATACAAAAGTTTTAGCTCTTAATCAGGTGGTTTATTTCACATATCAATCAGCCATCCTGATATTTATATCTATATATAGCAAGAGATATAGACATATTTATGTCTACAGACAAATCTATGTGTATATATGTATATATAAGGGTATATCTATATCTACATACAGAGAGAGATACATACATATGATACATATATGTCTATAGTCAAATCTAAATGATCACCATATTCTTTACATGTGAGCATATGTAGCATAGTAGCTAGAAGAAAACCATCAGCCTCCACTTCGAAACCTGACCTTGCATTTACAAATCAATTAAGTAAAAACAAATCCATAACTTCCACAAAAACATATTTTCTATTAAAACATTTCCTTTGAAATATAATGCTATAACTGATAAAAGGCTGCCTTTTTGTGTAACAAAGCCATATAAGAAAACTATCACTGGAAAGAGGTGTTCCTGAAAAACTGAATGAAAGACGGCAAGGGGGGATATTTCTTTCCTACTGTTTTATTCATTCATTTAATAAATATTTATTGAGTGCCTATGATGTGCCAAGGACTGTTCTAAATATTTGTAGATACACTAATGAACAAGACGGACAAATTCCCTACCCTCATGGAAATCATACTCTATAGAAAACAAATAGATAAATGAAGAAATATAAATATAAAGTCAGTGATAAATGGTATGAAAAAAACTAAAGCAAAGTAAAGAGATAAAAATGGTGGAGGCTGCTACTTAAGACAGAATAATCATAGATGACTTCTCCAGAGAGTTGATCTGTGAGTGGATGTCTGAATGAAATGAAGACGCAGGTCTTGTGATGGAGCAATGCCAGCAAAGGGAAGTGCAAAGGATCTAAGAGAGGAATGCAGTTTTCATGTTTGAGAAACAGCAAGTCTCTGTGTTATGTGAGTAGGGCAGAGTGAGTGACAGAGAATTGTGAGAAATGAGGTTAGAGCAACAGCCTTGTATTGTTTTAAAAAAATAAAAAATAATACAAATTAATTTGTGAGCATTTTTTGAAAACAAATGCCACCAGGAGAATATTCACAAGACATATTTCAGATTAACATTTACAAGCAAAGTCAAAATCATTAAGAGACATTAGTAATGATTGTGTAATAGTTCTCTCCAGAGACACTATAGTTTGTCAACAGTGGCTACTGATTCTTGACTGAGATGTTTCTAGTGTTTTTGTTTCAAGTCTTTCAAGTCACATTTATAATCATCAAAGCTGTGATTATGTCTTGTATTGCTAGTTTACAGCTACTCCGTTTTCATTTACATGATCATCAATTACGAAAAGATTCTAAAAAGTTGATTTAAAATGTTTTCCTTCCTCCAGTCTTTTAGTGAAATGTTAAAAGAAAGAAATGTTCATTTATTTAAAGGAGCTTCTTATGTTATATGAAAATTTTCCAAATTTGTCTTTCTTTGAGTTTACAATTCAAGTATTTTGGTTTTTAAATAAATATACTCATATTTTTTTATTTATTTATTTTTTCCTTTTTGTCTCTTTTCGTGACCGGCAACGGATCGCAACCCTCAGTGTCGCGCCCTTATATTTTTTAATTTATTTATTTTTTCCTTTTTGTCTCTTTTCGTGACCGGCAACAGATCGCAACCCTCAGTGTCGCGCCCGTACCGGACCGGGACCGGCAACGGGATCGCAACCCCCGGTGTCGCCCCCGCACCTCGCTCAGCCAGCGAGCGGGAACCGGTCTGTATGTGAGACCCGAACCCTCGGCAGGAGCGCCGCCGCGCTTCCTAAGCGGCGCACCATAGCAGTGCGCCACCGGGCCGGCCCCTACTTATATTTTTTTAAAAAAGGATAAAGCTTCTAAGTTTTATACAGAGGAATTTTAATCATCAGGGGAAATAACATTACTTCATTATCTACATACTAACAAATACAAGAAACAGCAAGTTTTTTTGGTAAAAACATCTTTATAATGAAAAACCCATCTCATTAAATCTTAAGAATTTCAACATGAGAGACACTGACCTCTGGAGACAGCACAGAATAAGCCTGTGGTGGTTTTTCCAGTGAGACTGGTAGACAAAACTGGCCAGTCTTCAACCGTCCATTCTGAAGCATTGGTATCCACTTTTAAATGAAAAGGAAACAATTTTAATTTAAATATGTTCATTATAAAAACAATTACTTGGAAAGCCTGTTTTAAGAACTTGGTACATACAAGCCAAATTTGTATCACATCACTAAACATTAAAGGATTTAATTATATTAGCAACAATAATAGGCCTTCATAATTCCTCTAAAGAGAAGTTTCCCAGGTGATATTTTATTTTTAAAAATCCCCCAAATATTATTATTACTAACCATGCAATATTTAAATCTATAGAGGATCCTTATTATCCAAGGGAAAGGTCCTAGAAAAAGGCCACAAAGTGAATCTATTTTTAAATAGAGATAACAGTTTCAATGTATACAATAAAAGAAAGATTTGACTAGATATGAATGCTGAAAACAAAACTAAAATGTATGAATATGAATTTATTTTCTTACAGCTGACAAAATTCATGTCACAAACTACGAGTATTAAAAATAATTAATCAAATGTTTATTTTTCTCTTCTGGGTGTAAGCATGATTTTTCTGACAAAATTGTGTGATAGCACATCATGATGTCTTTCATCAGAGGCTTACCTTTACAATTCAATCACAGTGATTTCTGAAAAATACTCAAGGGTTTTAATTTCTTTTCCAATGGTCTCTTTTACTCATTTTACATTCATATCACTCTGTTCTGAAGAACCTTTCAATCTATTATATTCATACTGTGCTGTTGTGTAAACAACCAGTAATCAGGACCAACACCTAAGTGTTTACATGTTAATTAATTAATCAATTATACTACTTAAATACATTAATGGCCATTTTTCTGTTATCACAATTCTTCCTAACCAATACATACATAACACAATACATTTGTGGGGAATCAAATAGGATATATTTAAATAATAAAAAATACATAATTATTTTTAAGATCGAAGAGCTGAATATTTAACAAAAGAACTTACTGTATATCCAACTGGGGTTTCAAGAGGAGTATTTTGTTTTTGTTGACAACTAACATGATAAAAAGTAAAAAGCAAGTGATGATGGTCAGTTAAGGTAGCAGGGAGTTTAACCTTGATTTCTTCATGAAAATCAGGAGACCTTCATACAAAAAAAAAATCAATAGTGTCAGTAATTTGTTCAAAATAAAGAATTATTGCATTTGTATACCTGAGTAATTTTAAAATTAATTTTAGGATTCATGTTTAATTTTCCCTCTAGTCCAAAGTACTTTTCTTTCCGATCTCTAAATAACTAAATCCTACTTCCAGATGAGGAAGCTGCCACTGTTTCTGAAATTTCTCATCCCATTTTTATTAATGGGCTGAGTAATCCTACTCTCTGAAAATTCATTAATAATCACCACTTTGAAATACAGATCTTCATTAGATTGGAAACTATAAAAGAGGAGACTAGGTTAGGGCCTTCTATATCTAGAGCCAATTCTGACACACATTACATAGAAAAAATATGACTTTTATAAGTGCGTATTTTAAAACCATACTATAGAAAAACATTTTTCTTTTATAGGAGTAAGTTTCATATTAAAGACTAATTTGTATTATCCTTTTGCGAAAAGGGGGGAAAAAGTATCTTTACACAACTTAATATCAAGTTGGACTCTCTTTGGAATGTCTTACATGAATTATTCCATTGTTAAAGAAATAAAAAACATTACCAAAACATGGACTAGTATTGACTGACTGCTAAAAAAAGAAAAAATGAGAAAATCAGGGAACATCCACAAATTGCAATTGTCCCACAGATTAGAAGACCTCCCGAACACTATAAGAATCCAGCAAATATGTTTGAACAAACCAATAGTATTTTCATCTCAATATTTATTGAGTGGTCCCAGGGGTATCTATAGAAAAGCATGACTGCTACTCATGATATAGACTTAAAAGGGACAGAACCTTAGCATCGCAACCTTCCATATTCAGTTAGTATCTCTCAGAATTATATTCAACGAAAATGCAACCAAACCATATGGCTCCAACTATCTCTACAGTTAAGCCTACCCTACACCAATTAGGGTTTTTTTCTTAGATACTAATAGTTCACGTTCCCTTCCATCTCAAGTAAGCCTTAAAAACACTGCCAGGTGTAGATTTGATTATAGAATATTAAGAACTAAGCTTTTAATAATACCAACTAGAAAGATAACTAATGCTAGCCTTCTAAGAACTTGACAAATTTGGTGGGAAAAAAAGATGCTACGCACCTTATTACCAATCTCACCAATTATCACTGAATTACGAGAAAGATGAATTTACCAGTAATGTCAGACGGTATCAGTATCATCATTTTAATTCCACTAATGCTGATAGCAACAAAAATAAAGACCTAGCCACAAACTGAAATACTTTTAGACCTTCTTTATCAATATCTTTCCTGGCATTTAGTGTTTTAGTTCATTTCTGTCCTGAAATCACATTTTATGAAGGCTTTTGTGGAAAACTAAATATCTAAGAGAGTTAATCATTCAACAAGTAGGTTTAATTGCCCCTCTTTAGGCTAAACATTGTGTTACTTTCGTGGTGGTTTTAAAGACAAATATAGAAAAAATTTATATTCTTACTAAAAAATTTAGTAGAAATATAAATTAGACACACATATATCAATAGCTATGCTATAAAACAGGGGTAGGCAAATTATGGCCCACAGGCCATAATCCACTGCCACGTTTTGTACAGTCTGCAAACTAAGAATGATTTTTACATTTCTAAATGGTAAATAATCAAAACAATAATAATATTTCAAGATGTGAAAATTATATGAAATTCAAATTCCAATGTCCATAAATAAAGTCCTACTGGAACATGGCTACACCCATTTACTTGCAACTTTACTTATTGTCTATGGCTGCTTTTGCACTACAATGGCAGAGTTGAATTGTTGCAAAAGAGACCATATAGCCACAGGCCTAGAGTATATACTACCCGGTCCTTTGTAGAAAATGTTTGCCAACCCCTGGTATACAGCATATAGGGTTAAGTGCTACAAAAACAGAGTTGAACTTCAGGTTACCTCAAGTTTGAGATCAGGGAATTTTCATTTAGGAGGTGATATTTGATACAGGCCTTAAGGAATGAGCAGGTGTTCAATACATAAAAGGAGTCAGTATCATAATAGTCAAAAAAATCCAATAAAGGCCCAGAAACAGGTCAGCATAGGAAGCATTTAATGATGAGGCAGAAAGTCATCAAGATTTAAAAGCTGATTGGATATTACAGAGGAGTTCTGAAAGGCAAAGATGTCTTAAATTTTGAGCCAGTAACTAGAAAAATGGTAGCAGCATTAACAAAAAGAGAGTCAGACAGAAATAGGGTGAGGGAAAAGAGTCAGGGATAGATACATGGAAACTGAGAAGATAGCAGGGCACCCAAAAGAATATGTCTAATAGGCCACTGAAAATACATGTCTGTATCTCAGAAGGAAGGTTATGACTCAAAAAGAGTTGAGAACAAGCCACATTAAACATTAAAGTCGCACCATTTTCATTCAGTGTAACTCTGAGAGATACATTCAAGATTATGTAGGAAGAGAATATATAGAGGATAGAGGGTTCAGGGAAAAGCATTAGTGTTTTGTGTAGAATGCCTACACTTGTGGAAAAAAGGATAATTACTACAGAAAAAAAGAGTATTCAAAAAGATAGAAACTGAGGTAGGGACATAAAATAAAGGTGAGAAAGAAGAAAGTTTTAAGGAGGGCAAGGAAAATAAATACTATACAACAGCACAGGGGAAAGACTTTTGTGTTTTTTCTTTAAGTATGGAAAACATAAGCTTCTTTTTTGAGGATGAGAGATGGAGCCAATGAAGCATGATCCTAATGATACAAGAGAAGGGATAATTGAGTCGTGTTCTGGAAGAGGCTGGATAGCATTGTTTGAAAGGAGAAGTGAAAAAAATCATAGTGAGCAGGGAGTGGGCCATTACTACATTTGAAACAGAAGGAAAGGCAGATCAGTATGGAGATAACTTGAGGTGAAGAGTAGAGAAGTTGATGGACCTCAAGTTGGATGGTCTTAACCAAATAGGAATGCTGAGAGTAAAGCAAACAGCAAAGTAGGTGTTAGAGGAAAACTTCTCTAAGTACTGCTAAGTGAGAGAGAGGGCTTGTAAAAAAATGATAACAATAAGATTACAAAAGAGCAGTGGGGCAAAAAGAAGATAAAATGAATTGCTGTAGCCCCATCACATGATACAATAATATCAATTTGTAATAGCCCTAATTGGTACAATTTTGTGATTTTCTCCAATGGCATTCAATAATTCCCCCAAAAGAAGGCAGGAATTAAAGGTTATCCAAAGTTAACAATTTCCCAAGGAAGTAAAATGGAAAGTGATTAAATCAAAGGATTACTGGATATTGAGAATACCACCAATTTACCTGACTAAAGGATTTAAGCTTAATAAAAAGTTAACTAAAACTACAAAGTATCAGGGGAAAATAACAGGGAAAGACCAAAGGACCAGAGGCCACAATGATAATCAATCACAATATAATACAAATGAAAGGATCAGAGAATTTGACAGAAAAGATGTTTTTGTGTACAAAGTCTATGGAGAATGACTTTGAGATATCTATGGAGAATGACTCTGTGTCTACAGATTGAAAATTATAACTCTGATGTTAGCCCTGAATTTCGCACATTCAGTGCAGCAAAGCATTTGGTAAACATACTAACGTGAGTGCTAACAATGCCACTGAGAAGTGAGTAACTTTGAAAGAAATATTTGAATTCAGTACCTGTTATGATATACTACGGCTGTATAGGCTTCCTTTGAAAATTCTGAACAGCTAGATTTACCAAAGATTACCTGTAACAAATAACAGCATGTTGAAACTTTGTTGTAATAAATGCTGGATGTTTCATATCTATGTAAGAATTTGTCTGATTTAATAACTAGTTGAGATAAATGGGCAAAATCAGCCCATTGAAGACAATGTGCCTACTGACGTTCATTTAAAAGTTCAAGTGCTTAACTACAAATTTCTTTTCAACGACAGACCCATCTGACATTCAAACATTCAAAAAGTTTCTATCAATTACATTTATATCTATCGGGCAATAAGGTACATTTCTTTTCTTTTTTTTAAAGAAGGTGAAGAACTCATATTTGAACTGGATGTAGCATATTGTTTGGAATTTATATAAGAATTATGATTCTAGAATGGTAGCATAAATCTACTATACAAACTGGTGGTATCTCCATTAAAACAGCAATCATTCTGCAAGTCAAATATAAATTATGTACGGATGATATAAAAAATTCTACTTTAGGTCAAGCTATGTATCCTTTACTTCTAGTATTCCCTGCAAACTATTGTAAAATGGAAGAGGAGCTCCATTCTTATATTCTTACACATCTGTTTTTGTTTTTTTTTTTTTTTTTAAAAAAAACCCCACCACATTAAAAAAAATACAATACTACTTTTGGAGAAAGTTTAGAGGTAAAATAACTCAGCCTTGTATTCTGCCTCTTGAATTCTAACAGTAATACTGTGATTAATTAGGGCAGCTGATTAGATAAATGGCTTAATGATGTTAAACTCATACTTGTAATTCCTGTGTGGAACAATTATAGACTTGCAATGTTATTTAGCCATAGATTAAATTCTTAAGTCTGGCTAGCCACCTCGAAAAATGCATGAAAAGTATATGGACATGTCACTGAACTTCCATCAGAACAACTGGTAAAACAACTCAAAGTTTATCCCTTATATAAAGGGATTAATTGGCAACATCCTTAAATAAAAGGACATAGTAGCAGGTTTTGTTTCTTTTTTTTTTGCAGCATTTCAAGCAGGTTCTTTTATTTTAAAGTCATGTAAAAGTGTAATCATTATGACTCTTCCAGATAAGTTGTTTTTCATCAATTTGCTAATACCTTAGTATGTGTTTATAAAATGTTGCTCCAGTGCCAGAATTATGAAGTTTACAATTTTATCATACCAGCATTAAAGGATTAAAAAATTATCTTAGGACCATTTAAATAGTTATTTTTTTATAAAAAGCAAACATATTATGTCCATGTTTATATACTCTTTCAAAGCAGCCAGTCACATAAACACAAAAGCATAGTATTTTCACATGACTAATAATACACAAATGAAAGGAATGAACTACCTTTTTTTCGCTCTGAGAAGCTATCACTTTTCACAAAATAACTTATTTTCATAACATGAATGATGTAAAGTGGAAAGTGTTCCTTCTCTGACCATTTGACGTGTTTTTTTGTTTGTTTGTTTTGTTTCCTTTTTGTCTTTTTTACTGACCGGTAATGGGATCGCAACCCTCGGTGTCGCGCCCGTACCGGGGACCGGCAACGGGATCGCAACCCTCGGTGTTGCACCCACACCGCACTCAGCCAGTGAGCGGGAACCGGTCTCCACATGGGATCCAAACCCTCGGCAGGAGTGCTGCCACACTCCCAAGCGGCGCACTCTCCAGTGTGCCACCGGGCCAGCCCTGACGTGTGTTTTTAATCATTCAGCAACATGGATTGAACACCAATTATGTGTCAAGCACCGTCTTAGGCATCAAGATATAGATATGAGTAAGACATGATCCTGCCCTCATGGAGCTCACAGTCTAATAGGTGAGACAAAGAAATAAACATACAATCCTAAAGTGATAAGGCCCATGAAAGAAGTGAGAAGATGCTATGGTAGCACCAAAGAGGGACTGATCTAACTACCAGTGCAGTTGGGGCTCTGTAGAGGAGGCTATATACATGCTAAGACAAGGAAGAGTTTGTTAGGCAAACAATAAAAATAGATTATTTTACATATACTACATTTATCATAAGCTTGAATTCATATGGCAATTCACATATAGACTAAGTATCTATTTTCACAATTTAAAATCTTTTCAGCAACTATGATAGTACATTCACTCCTTCAGCAGAAATGAAGAGCTGGTAAAGACATGAAATGCTAATTCCAAAACTGAAAAATAAATTCTACATTTATTCAACAAATATTTATTGAGCACGTATTACATGCAAGGATCTATAATAGCTGCCACAGGAGAATACAAAGATGAATAATTTGTGTTCGCTGCTGTCAAGGAGATGTATAAATACTAACAAAATTGAGGCAATAAGGAAGAAGAAAATATCTTTCTTACTAAGTGGAAAATAAGAACTTAATTAAAAGACAAACGTGGAAGGATAAAATAAGACCCTGTTAACAATGCACCCATTCTTAGCTCATTTTCATTCCACTAGTGTTCTCAGAGTTTGAATATTTACAGCAATAGCATACTCCTATTCCATGCTAATAACTTCAGTTGAGCCAAAAATCTATTGTCATGGAACTTGCATTTATCAATGTCTCACAAATTCTCAACGACAATTTGGGCAGTCAAGAATCTCTCCAGTCTGGCCTCAAACTACTATTTCAGACCTATCTTCCATTGCTCTGGTTCACTGGCAACTCACCACTGTTCATGGACCTTCCCCAACCTGAATTGCTTTCCTTCCCCCACTGTCCACACCCACTGTCATTAAGATTTTAACAACCTTTGATTTTAGCACAGAAGTACCTCTTCCATGTGATGCTTGCTTGTTACCTATGTAAGCCATTCTTTCCTACCTCTGAACATCTATTCCTTTGAATCCCTATATCAATCTTTTAATAATTGTCACATATCTTGGTTCTCAATATTGGCTGCAAAATGTAATCCTTTGGTGAAATTAAAAATACTTAGTTCCCATCCCCAGAGATTATGATTTAATTCAAATGAGATTCAGCCTAGGCACTGGTAGTTTTAAAAGCTCCCCAGGTGAATCTAATGTGGAGCCAAGATTGAGAACTAATGCTAGAGTTTCTCAACAAAGATAGGAAGAGCCATACGCATTAGAATCACCTGGAGAGCATTTTCTAACTATAACACTACCTCACTTACCACCCATCACGTTTTAAAAGCTCCCCAGGTGAATCTAATGTGGAGCCAAGATTGAGAACTAATGCTAGAGTTTCTCAACAAAGATAGGAAGAGCCATAGGCATTAGAATCACCTGGAGAGCATTTTCTAACTATAACACTACCTCACTTACCACCCATCACCTCCCATCTCCCTTCCCTGGCCTGTATTCTAACGGTGTTGAGAAGAATCAGAATCACAGATACCAGAAGTAGAGAAAAGGTATGTGTACTTTGATAAGAGTTCCCTAAATGATACTGATCTAACCCTCTTTTGAAAGCCACTATTTAAGACTTATATGCATTTGTCTTATAGATTTATATGCATTTGTCTCTGGATTACAAGGTCTCATTCATCTTTGTATCTCTGGGAGTGCCTAGCATATACCAAATCCTCAATAAATAAGTTAGACTTTAAGTAAATTCATTATTATCTTTACAGGAATTGATGCAATTAGAAATTTGGTTTAAAAGATCACATCAAGTTTCCAATTTGGAGCTTCCAACCGAGTGATAGAAAAAAATGTTGATCTGAACCACTTTTGAAGGATAGGAAAGGTAAAGAACATTTCTTACCGGCATGGCATTGCTTGTATCCTCCCCATACATAAACTGGACTTTCACTGTTATATTTCTGGCAGAACCTTGACGATTGGCAAAATTAAGACTCTGAGGGTATATGTAGAGAAGATTTCTGTGAAAGCAACAGTATAAATGATAGTGAATAAATATCTAAAACTACTACATATCACTCACTAAATGCCACAAGAGAAATGAACAAATAATAAATTATTAATATTTGCTAGCCACTGTGCTAAGTATATTCATATACAATGTTTTATATGATCCTTACAGCAATCATTCAAATGCACAGCCATCAAATATATCCCAATTTTGCAGGTGAATTTAGACCCACAAAAGTTAATTGATTTTCACACACGACCAAGTAAGTGACAAAGCTGAAATCAGAATACTGGTCAGTCAGACTTCAAAACTCTATCTTTCTCCTACAAGAGACTTCTGGGAAATAAATGAGTATGGACTGAAACATTATTAAAAAGTTAAAAAACAGTTCTAATATTATCTTCGTTCCTCCAAACAGCTATAAATAGAATGGCATTCATAAATGTGGCTTTTGTATAAATGTAATCAAGGATTTCAGACGTATAACATTCCACATTATTGTTCAAAAATACATTACAATATGGTGGGTATAACAGAGTTAGATAGTTACTATGGGACAATCATTTTCTTCTTTACATTTATTTGACTTTTTGTCCGGTTTACGATCTCCATGTTACACTAACTTTAATAGTCCATGCTGCTAACAAAGAAGAGAAATAATTCGAGAAAAGACACCCAAAAAGGGGCTAAAAAAAGAATAAGAGTTTTTTTTTACTTGAAGACTACTGCTTGGAGTTAATAAACAAGATTTTGGGTATAATAAAAAGCTGCCAATCAACGGCTGAGGCAATGAAAATAGGTATAAATTTTCTAGGGGGCAGTAGCACAATGTGTAAATTTTAAATAAACATACCCTTTGACCCAACAAACCGACTTCTAGCCTGAGGAGAGAACTGCACACATGTACAAATGGGTGTGTTCAAAATAATTCATCACAACATTTTTTCTAATACAGAATAATTACACATAATTATAAAGAAACAATGTTTATCAGCACTAGATTGGTTAATTATATTAAGATACATTAATAAGAAGGAATACTATGAAGTCCCCAAAATGACAATGTACAGCAGTAAAGAGATTCCTAGCATATTGGATGGGAAGCAGGTTCCAGAGTAGAATGTATAGAGACATTATCCTATTTATGGAAAATAGTTTGTGTTGGTGTGGGAGTCTGTGGGGGGGAGGGAGAGAGAGAGAAAATGAATAAAGTTATATTTCTGAAAAATAATAGTGATGGCTTTAATTTCTTATACTTTTCTATTTTGTTCGACTTCTTTTACAATGAAAATATGATTTTTACAGTTAAAAAAGCAATAAAATAATTTCCATGACAAAGGATGGAAATATGTTTGACAATAAGCATACACCCTGGAAGTACTAAAGAAATGAAGAAGAGTCGGTGGTACTCAAACAAACGTCAGGCATTGTGTTAGGCACTAGGGAAACAGAAGATTAAGAAGCTACTCCTTGGTCTTAAGGAACATACAGTCTAGTCGGACAGAAATATCCACAATGTAGCAGATACTGAGAATACAGAGATAAAAGACAAAGTTCTTGACTTCACAGAACTCATGGTCTAGAGAGGAAATCAGACAAGCAAATAATTATAATGTAAAATGATAAGTTCTGTGAACATAGAAAGAACTACAGCCCATAGGAGGATTTGGGATTAAAGAATCTGCCCACAAATTTCATGAGAAATTTGCAAACTAGATAGACATGCAAAACACAAAGAAAAGCAAAACACACCATCACTCCCCACCCCCTGCCCCTGCTCCCCACCTCCCAAATCTCTGTATTGGGATTACTACTGTCTTAGCTTTGTGGTCATGGACATGACTGAAAATGTTTCCATCTTTCAAATGTAGGAAAGTCTCACCTTTACCTCACCCCCACCACATCACTTTATTTCATTCACTACTCTTACACATTCTATAATTACAGTGATGTGCCACTTAATGACTCTGGGCAACGATGGATTGCATATACAGCAGTGGTCCCATAAGATTATAATACTGTATTTTCACTGTACCTTTTCTATGTGTTTAGATGTGTTTAGGTACACCAATACTGTTACAATTGCTTACAGTATTCACTACAGTAACATGCTGTACAGGTTTGTAGCCTAAAAGCCATAGTCTACGCCATGTAGGTTTGTATACAAATACTCTATGATGTTCACACAATGACAAAATCACCTAATTACACATTTTTTAGAACATATCCCCATTGTTAAGCGATGCATACCTGTATCTTGTTCATTTATATATTACTTCTTGTTTTTACATCTCCTATAGAGAGTCTAAACTCCATGAGGGCAAGGACCTTATCTGCTATACCCAATGCCTAAATCATATTTACTGAATGAATGAATGGTGTAGAATGCACACAGAAATATAGTAACATTTCTGAGAGTTTAGATTTCAGATTAAATAGGAACTGACTGAACATTATCTATAAACTATGTTTAAATTCCAATATAAGCAGTATATTTTAAATCAACTTGTCTCTGTAGGTGAAAGGCATGCAATTGAATCTAGATTCTTTTCCATTTCATTACTAACTTCAATAATAAATTCCCAAATAAACCTAGTAAGTCTTTACTTTGTATTTAAAATACTCCTTCAAATAAATTTTAAGTCAGCAAGGAGAAGGCAGATTAATGAAAAATGTTGAAGTAGTTGACTAAGCTATTTAGGGAAAAAAAAGATGAATTCATATTTCACCCCCACATCAAAATAAATTCCAGATTAATCAAAGGCTTAGATAATAAAAATAAAACCATAAAAATACTAGAAGAGATTTAAAGAGACCAGATTTTATAGGTGAGAAAGGCATTTCTTATCACAAGCCAAAAAAAAATCATAAAGCCAAATTTTAAAGCTTTTACATAGCAAGTGATACCACAAATGTAGGTGGAAGAAAAATGGCAAATTGGAAAAACACTTTTTTATTTATATGACAAAGAATTAGTATTCATAATATGAAAATAATTTCTAAAACTAGTCAGAAAGAGACAAACTTTTAAAAAAGGAGATGGGACAGGAGGAATTACATACATTCCCAGGTAATTCACAAAGACAGCAACACAGATGGCCAAGAAAACAAATTACAGTCACGTGTAGCTTAACAATGGGGATAGTTCTGAGACATGTGTTGTCAGGAGATTTCATTATTGTGCAAAAGTATGTTATGAAAGGGAACAGGCATGAATTTTCCTATTATCTACAGTGGCCAACAGGTGCATAAGCATGGGCCCTCTATGTTAATAAGTCTCTCTGTGCCTCACTTTCCTCATCTGTTATACAGGGATTAAAATAATACCACCCCCACAAAGTTATAAAAATTAAATTATAGGTAGAGATTGTGCTGGGTACTCTGCAAGCACTCAGTAAGTGTTAGCTAACTGTTATTAAGTATTATTTTGCTATGGGGATGAGTGGGAGTCATTTAAAAATGCAAGAATTCTAAAGTTTCAACCCTTCCACCTCGGGTCAGACCTAATGTGTCAAATGCTTGGCTTACCATCTAAAAGGTCTGACCTACCTTTAGAAGGGTCACCCCATTGATAAGTGAGGCACTCCTCCTCAACATATTTTGTAGTAGGTTTGTTTACACCAGTATTACCACAAACATGTGAGTAATGTGTTGCGCTTTGACATTACAATGTCTATGATGTCACACTAGGCAACAGAAAATTTTCACCTCCATTATAATCTTATAGGACTACCATAGTATATGCAGTTCAACCATTGGTGACTGTAAGGTTATGCAGCACATGACTATAGATATATACTTGCCTACTAGATTTATCAATATTTTCTGTCTTTCATTCAAAGCATTGGTAAATGTATATGGGACTCTTGTACATATACTTCTGGCAGGGCTGTGAATTAGTACAACCCTTTTGAAGAACAATCTGACAAAAGGAATAATAATTTAAAGTCGACATCTATGAACTTATATGAAAATATTTACACACATATATGAGGATATATTTTAATGCATATTGTTTATAATTAGAAAACCGAAAATGCCTTAAATGATCGTTAATAGGGAGCTGATTAAATTAAGTTTCACCCATATAATAGAAGATTGCACAGTCATTAAAAAGGATATGATGGGGCCGGCCCGGTGGCGCACTGGATAGTGCGCCGCTTGGGAAGCGCGGCGGCGCTCCCGCCCGAGGGTTCGGATCCCACATACAGACCGGTTCCC